GCGAAGCGACCGATTACCGTAAAACTGTTCATGTTTTTAAACCGAATCGATTATTTAAGCCGAAATTTCTGTTAAAGCTGCCAGTAATCCATATCAGGAACCCGATAAATAATAGCGAAATAAAAAAAAATGTAATAAACCAGGGCGTTTCCCGATACCGTGCAGTTATATAAGCCATGTCATATCTTAGTTCCATTCCTTTTACCCATGACAAAGACCCGTGAAATACTGAAGTGTTGAAATACTGCTGATATATTTGAGTATTCTAAAAGAAAAAGAAAATATAGTTCTCTTAGCACAACATTTTCCTCGAGAAGATAAATGGTTGGCTGCTGTTCAATTACCCACTTTTTTCGCCTTCTTCGATGTAAGAGCTGTATCTTATCGAAGATATTACTCCCCCTGGACGAATTTTCTGCCTATTAGGAAACTTCACTTTACCTAAAAGTGAACCTATATACACTACTACCTAAGCGGTATAGTCTTGAAACAATCTAATTGTCTGATTGACGACCCGTACGGTATCTCTGAGTAGTCGAAAAACACCACTTGGTAAAAAAAGTATGTGGTCTATCAGACGTAGATTTCCCAGTTCAAATAGCTCATCCTTGTACAGACCCTGTTGGCTATAACAATGGTATTGTAGCATGCCTTATAATGCTGATCGCTCTCCAAACGCTCTTAATTTCAATAGAAATATCTACAGAACAGAAGAATGGCCCTAGACGAAAGCAGTTTCCAACGAAATCGTTGGATCCATCGAAATAATTGGCTGAGTATAAGAACAATCGAACGCAGAACAGAAACGGTGCGTAGCAACTTAAGCCCCACTTCAGACGTGCTTATTCATAAACGCGCATTGTGTGTTTTGTCCTTGGAGTTGATGTTTCCTTACAGGCCCGTAGACGAGAGCATTAGAAACTTCTCACCAATAAATCGCACATTTTTCTACAGCGTTCTTACCGCTTGATTTCGCGATGCTCCCCAATCGATGCTGTTAGAAGAACCCAAAAAAAAAGGCTTCAGCTGCTCAGAGGACCTGATGAGTCCTAACAGGGGCACCATCGTCCTTCTGCTTGAATGTTGTGTGTTAAAACAGGATTTCAGTACATCTCTCACTGGAAACTTCAGTGTCTTATGTTCATCGGTAGTAACCTTCAATGACATGCCTATGCACAAGATAACGAAGTGTGATAGCCTTGTGAATGACAACTATGAGAGGGTAGCTGTGATTCGCAAATATTTTGTGCCACGTTAGTGCCTGTTTGTGTCGATGAGTGACATGTTTTCGCGTTTCAGCCATTTAAATAGTAAATTCCATTTTCTCTTTGACGTACTTATAGGTATGAGATGTAATCTTGTGCGATTCTAGGTAACTGCATAGACCACGTCAGTATCGAAGAAGTTCACAACGGTAACGCCGATCTTATTTCGACGTAGAACGACAGAGGGGACTTTCCTTTGTACTAAATTTAAGCTTTCCAATCGAGTGGGAAATAATCAAGCAGACCTCATGGAACAGTTTCAAATAGAAAACTGACTGAGTGAGATATCCAGCAGTTGTCGAGCCTTCAAAATAGACCCTTGTCAAATACGTGTCTGGACTCTTCGCTGTGAGGTCTTGACTGATTCCCTATTGGCCAACATCGACTCGGAAGAAAGCGTCTTTTCCATGTTTGATAGCCCCAAGCGTTTCTGCCATAGATAGATACCCGAACTCTACGTAATGGCAAGCATTTGACATCTTATGCTTATTATTAAGGTCATTTTTATTCCTATTCAACTTTGGTCTTGCTAATCAATATAATGGCGATGCGATTTCAGCATTACCACAATCCAGCCAACGCAACACACGCACAAAAGTTAGCCTGGCCCAATCGAGAACTAGGGAGCTAGCCGTCTAATCAACTATGCTCGACAGCGATACCGGATGAAAGACTCGGTTCATAGAGGCTAGCCCAGGATATTAATATAGCGTACCAAGCGTTCGTACGTTCACTAAAGCTACAGTTGTATGATGCCATGATAAACATGCGTATGCCACGCACATGGCGGGCCTTTGCACGGCAAGCTCCCAATTCCACACTTAGAACTAAAAGGACTGGCACAAAATTGTAATTGTGCATTGATAACATTACTGATAAAAGTTGTCTTCATCGGTCCGGGAAGACCAATTGGACTAATCATATCGAAATGGATCGCTCTTGAATTATTTATGCCGCTTATTTATAGTCAGAGCAAAACCAGCCAATGTTGTAGACAATTAGCAACGGAAGACTTTGCATAGTCAAAGGTATTGACCAAGAGGATTGTAGGCCATCTACAACTCTTCCGAGGCTACACAGATTTGCAAACTGTCATGAGTCCAAAAGATTTGAAACCTGTTTTCCGCAAAAGCATCCTCGCCATACGACCTATTTCTATGCATGACCCTTAATACGCTCGCTCATTGTTACTTGCGTAAAAGTCGGACTGAACCTGAAATTCCCACAAGGAAAATGATCTGATCTAACCAAGCTGGCAGCCTTAACGCCTGATTTATATTCATGGTGATAAACTCGTATGAAGGAAGAGCGTAGCTCATACATATAACATTTACTGACAATAATTAGATTCCTTATTTTGCGCTCCAAACTGATTTTGCTACATAGATAATAAGGTCGCTTAATTAGCATTATTCATGATTGAAGTCTAGAGAAGTGAGGCACGCTTCACTCGTCAGAATGCATCTAAAAATAGTACCGCCTGTTAGACACCAGAGGATAGAGAAACCACATACATGATACGTAACACAGACAATATTATTAGAGCGTACGAGATTTCACTAGCAGGTATCGAAGCGATCTAAATGTTCGGGGATACGGGAAAAAAAGGGGTTTACATTAGAAACAAGACCAATTTATAATTAGGTAAAAAAAAATAGTAGAGAAAATGTGAACTCGCGTTTAAAATGATAACTGTATCATAACTAAACTTTTTCATGTATCTTGACCTAAACAAGGTTGGCTTAGGCTGCTGGACCTAGCTATTATAGTTAAGCGCCTTGTGATACGGAATTGATATTTTGTCAATTCTAACCGGCCTTCGATATCCTTGGTACTTTAATACCTGCTACTTTTAGCTAGTACGGGCAGTTGAAACAAAATTAACCTTCGCTCCGTATAAATACGATAGCGTATGATAGTATCAGCAGCGTCTACTAGCTGCTTCAATATCGTTGGTTGAGTTGTTAACATGTCCGAATCAACAAGAGGACGTGACGCTTTGAACACTTGTAACGTGTCTATCCTGTCACGTCCAAGTCAGTGCTATCTCTCTATAGAAACAACAACGATAATGTTAATATTCTATTAGAATAGGTGATAAATATATTACAGTCGCTTAATTGAACGTTATATTATTATTAGTGTGCTTTGTTATTTAACATCATGAAAATTTTTCTGTTCACAGTCTATTTTCTCCACTGTTTAGATATGGGGACATGCATCTAGGCCCGGTTGGACCTTGTCCGACAATGTTGAGGCTTCGTTAAAAATTTCGTAGTTTTTAATTTTTTTTAATTTTTAATTTAAAATGTAAGAATATTACTCTGACCTAGTTTTGTACTCAGCGCTAAATCTTGAAGAAACAAATGGTCTTCGATAATCTCGTGACTGCTAGAATCACTGAGGCCCAACGGCGGACCCTTCAACGGTACTTCAGCTGTACTCTGAACATTGACAGAATCGGACAGCGACCCTTAATTATGCTAAATGTCTGGCCCCAAATTTTTCAACCTGTCTACGAAATTTTATAAGAATAGCTATATTTTGAACTATTTGTGCTCTGCAAAAAAACCGGCACCCCTTAATGCCAATTGTTGGGGATGTCCTTTTCAATAGGCCCTGTGAACAGAATCAATTCGAGGTAGTCATTAGGCAGAATTAGGTAGACACGTTTCTCTGGAGGGTATAATAAAATCAACATACACAAAGCTACGAATGTCATGCCTGTCAAAGTAAGACGAAATTTGATTTAATTTTTAGTGACAAATTGAAAAAGGTCGCCTATATCGAAATAAGAAAGTTAGCAATACCATTTTCCTTTCTAGATATTAACTTTTAGAATAGTGCTATAATCGTTGCACTGTAAAATTGGTCGATTGGAGGTGCTGAGGTCAGAGTTATCAATAAGATAATGATTAAAGGAAACAAACTTGTGCTGAATATTTATCGACCGATTGGACTTAATCCTAATTTGTTGCCTTCCTCCTTCTCTTTGAAACAGTTGAACGGGTTGTTAACTCTTATGTGGGTCCTCCGTGTCAAATAGTCTGACCATAAACCATAAAAACTTACTTCCATCTCGGATAACTACGCTATCGAGAGGCAGCTGTTTTTAGCACCAAATGCTTGCTGACCTCTACTTCTCCACATTTACAAATCCTTGTTATTACATCTGAGTTTGAAAAGAGCATTGACAGAATATGCATATAGAGCACATCCAGCAATCATCTGAACGTCACTTGGAAAATCATGATCAATTATGATTGATGTCTGACAATGACGGGCAATTCTCCATTAAACAGGTTCATCGCTACACGACAACAAGCGTCTGTTTAGTGCATTTAGCTTTATACTGTTATTGTACTTTTGCACGCCACTGTCTTCGCTGACGTAAACATTCATATACGTATATACACAACTACGTACAAATCGCTTATCGGTAAGACGATATGCAGCGCTGTCGACCGCACCGGAACCACCGAACCGTTCCCAAGAAACATTCTAGGTACGGGGAAATAGCTGCGATCGTAATGATGCTCTCGAGCTTTTCTAGTCTAAGAGATTGGCTCTCTGCATGGTCAAATGGTCTTTCGACCCTTACATCATGGTCTTAACGAACGTTGTTCTAGGCCTCTAACGGAGCAACGACTACTTGACGGGTGAGGAGGCTCGTGGCGTTGTTAGCGCCTCGTTGATTGCCCGAAGCAGTGCGAGATGGCTATAGCGTACTACCACGAAAGGGAGGACCAACAAAAATGGGCGAGGAGAACGAAAAATGTTGGGTCGCACATTGCGGCGTGCGCGGCGACTATGCCGTATCGGACACAGTGGGTTTCTCTGCATCTCCGGCGGACGGCCACTCTTTCCCGTCGCGTCTACAAAAAAAAACCTTGAGCATCGGAGCATCAGAGCGAAGACTGCTCTTGAAAGAGGACTCATGTTAGAATAAAAACCGAACTGTTCAGTGCGTTAAATCGCTTCACCTAAAAGACCGTAGGATTGAGGACCCACCACACGATTCGAGAAAGTGCTGTAGGTTGATGTAAGTGCTTACGGGTGAAGTTCGTACGAAATGGTTGGTAAGTTGTTTGACAGTTTTGTGACTAATTGAATTATTTATGAAAAACGAATGAACGTATTATCGCTCAACTGATTACTTAGTACGGACATGATTATAGGATAAATGTTGTTCTGTAGACAATCTGCGAATTGGTTCACATGACAACAAGGTTGGATGCTAATGTGGATTAGGACTGTTACAGACCTGGTTTAAAGCTGATTCATTTAGTCTACCCGTATGACGCGGTAGGCAGCGATGAAGACGCATTGAATGACTGATGCTGAAATCGATCCTCGATGTCGGAAAGGCTCATACAAGCAAGATACTCTCATCGCCCGGAGAAGTAATTAGCCTCACTTCTTACGGCATTTGACAATAAATAATGTTTCTTCGTATTTCCATAGTTCCCTTACTACCGACGCTGTCCAGCCTTGATAATCGAAAGCCAAGTACTTCATGAGGTCACGACACAAGACCACATGCTTCGTTTTTTACGCCAATGATGCCTCTGTCCAACCTTTAGCAAAAGCTGAATTATCTAAAGGAAAAAAGTAATTTCATATAAAATCTATAACATCACTAGCTCTTGCTAACCCAACAAAGTTAATAACACGATCACGCATCACACGGTCTATGCAACTTTTATTAACACGAGGTATCTAGAAAGTGCTCGTTAGCGCTGTTGAATCTCGTCCGCCATATCGATTAATTCCCTATTGACGTATTGGAAGTTATATTGGTTAAGTGGTACCTTCAAGATGCCAATCGGCGGCCTTCCGATATTCCAGAATTTAAGTTTCGTACACTAACTACTCTATGAAAATTGCCTCCAAATCTTCCATGTGTAGGAGTGCGCGGACATGTAAAGGGCCAGTTTAATTTTGAATTGTGTGACGGGATCAATCCAAATAGTTATTATCTATTATTTAACCAACTTTCTATCATTCATATACCATCACTCTTAACAACATTGTCGCACCGAAATGAAGAAATTAAAATTGATATAAGTTGCATGATAATATGAACTACAGAGTGTGAGGTTAGTTTTTGATTTTTTCAGCTATGGACGACTGGCAGGCCCTGGCACTTGAATTGCATGGTGAAACTGAAGAGGTAAGAAGCATGTTGGAAGGTTATTGCTTGGATACTACAATCATTAATCAACAGCGATCAGACCAATATAGGATTTCAGTTACTTGCAATCTGTACGAGGTTTTGAAATGCTCTCACGTCCCTAGCGCACTTGAAACCTATTTAAAAAAATTAGCGAGCCCATATGCGACCAAATCATGCGTATACTAAGCTTATATGGATATTTCGCTTCCAGTTTATGGCGGACGTCTGTTCCTGACGACATTATGTGTTCACCATCTGAAAAACAGGCTTCACCACAACAGTCCATTTGTCCTATCACCTCTAATAAGGACTGGAAAGCATGTCCGGAAAAGTTACATTTCTTTAAGACAGATCCCTATACTCGTTTCTTGCTTTGTTGAATGAACCTAGTTTTGCCTTTAATAGCAACGAAAGGGGTATCAGGAACGGCCTACTTTTCGAATTCAGCAAATTCAAATGTTCCATAAAGTACGCATGTGCCCCCCCCCGCCCCCCCCCGACACAACAAGTATTACATGAAAGTAAAACCTTGGCAAAGCATGACCGCGTTACACAGGCCATATTACAAGGTTCACCTTGAAATATGCGCAAAGTTCCTTAAATTGCAACGAATAGAAATAGATCATCACTTACTTGGTGACATTATCGGCGTATATGTTAGTGACTGTCAATGACGGTCATTTCGAACGAAGCTATGATCAAGCCAAAAAACGATTCACTATGAGAACAAATGTCTATTAGAATAAAATTCCATAGAAAAAAATCCATGAGCACTATAAATTTATGCCACATATGTAATAAGTAAAATAGTTTTTACCGTTTGCCGTAGCAGGGCAGATGCCCCACATCTAAAACACGCGATTGATAATTTTCATTTAAGGGAACATTTCGTATCAGAGGCGAAACGACGGTTCGAATTGTATTACCATTTTTAGATAAAAGCTTATTTTATTTCTATTAAGAACCTAGTAAGATGATTACCAAGTTGCCGTGATAAAAAAATCAAGCCTGATATTATATATTATCCGAACTGACTTTACTACCTGGGTTATCTGTGTGCTGATATTTCAGGAACTCCGTAATGCAATCAATGCATTGAAGGAAAACATCGCCGAAAAGGGCCTGAAAAATATCGTGTACGAGAAAGACGACGATTTCCTAGCACGGTTCATTCGCACAAGCAAGTATGACGTTGCAAAAGCTTTTAGAATGCTTAACGGTTACTACCTCAATCGGGCCAGTTTGCCTCATAAGGTTGCCCCACGGGGCAAAGGACCAAAAGACACCGAATTCTATGTGCCGCTGAAGAGTATTATGATTCTGGATCGAAAAAATTGGGACGGTTCTTCCGTGCTTAGTATGTAGTTGTCAACGTTCATAAATTAGCAGGGAATAAAGTGGTGTCAGGAATATTTTCATTAGGAGATGTATCCATATATATATATGCATATATGCAGCAAGATGTATCTACGCACGCCTTGTGTAGAAATGCTTGAATTATATGATCTAATTATCTGCGTGTTCCACTAATGATATCGTAAACTGTGCTGAATATTGATTTTTGCACTCACCGCAAACCGTTTTCATTCAACGGCTTTATTATGTTGCTTAGAGAATCATGGGAGTTTGAGTTCCTCCCAAGGAGGCTTCTGTCCTTAAATTCATAATTATATAAATGAGTTTAGAAACACTGTCTGCTTAATCAGTATCATTAATGCAGGAAATTTCTGTTGTTTTCCAACGCCGCACGCGTCAGTATTTCGACAGGGTGACTGGGACAAGATCAATACAAAGGCTGTATTAGCGGATATGCTCTTTTTTGGTTTCTATGTTGTGGAAGCAGCTATGCGAGATCCAATAGTCCAGCTTCAGGGCCTCACCGTTGTCTTTGATTGTTCCGGCTTCGGTATAAGACATTTACCGTTCTGTGACATGGCGGTGTTCAGGGTAAGCATGTCCACTGCCGTGGCTCGAACTCTTGCTAGACCATTGATTCGTACACATATTTCTGTTTAAAAGTGCATGCTTAGTACGCTCACCCGATCAACTTGTTTGATTTCTATATACCTATATATTTTCACACATATATACATACACATATATATTTTCTCATGATAGTCTAGCTCAAGCCAGCATTCGAATACATAAAGCCTCAACAAACAGAGCTTTGATCTGATCTGATCTGAGGTTGTTGAAAACCAGAGGTTAAGACAAAAAAATTCGAATCAAGCAAAAGGTTATACCTCCATAACCTTCGTTCGTATTTTTGCGAGTATCAATTTCCCAATGTAAATTTACCTATGCTTAATATTAATCATTATATTTTGTCCTGTATTGGGGCTGTGGGTATCCACGCGGGTGGTAAAAATCGTTGGCCGATAAAATCACTTATATGAATTGGGTTAAAATTATAGAACCCTTTGGTAGTAAATTTGTGCGTGTCTACTTTTTAGCGTTTGTTACAACTCGCTAAAATTCTCCCATATAGCGGTTCAACTGTCATGCTTTCATGGTAGTACATATCAGATATTCAATTGAGTCGTACATTTATATCGATAGTGGAAGTAAATTTTACTCTAAATATATTAGTGCTTTTATAAGAAGCGAACAATCAGTGTGGGGTACACATTTTTCATTTGAAAGACTTCCATTGTTTGTCCAGCGTACGCAGATCTACTTTTGTTGTTGCCCATCACTTATCGCTACCATTTAGACTTCTGAATCAACTGAATTGAAACCAACCTTCAGACATACGTGGCTCCTAAGGACCAGCCGATAGGCTGCGTGATTCTTGCTAAATCGTAATTTTGACCTTTAAAACGTTGATGAACGCATGGAAAATTGCCCGAATCGCGGCCGTCCCGAACGAATTTACCAGTATTATAATTAGTATAATAGTCGATTGCTACGTCTTGACAAATGCTTCGCGAAAATTGCTCTTTTGCTTATTTGATAGCCGATGAAAGTCTGTCGCATTTTAGTGGAGAATATAAGAGCGCTTTCGTTGTGCGTCCTGTGATCGCTGATGTGAATTCCATAAATAGAATTACATGTACCTTTACAAGTTTTTATAGGTAGACCTGTATTATTGGCAGTTTACCTTTTAATCTTTATCTGAATGCCTTAGGTCGGATGCTGCCACAAGTAGATCTTTAGGCAGCTGGTTCCCAGTGCGAAATGAAGCATCTCCATGCTCGGTTTTGAACATAGGTTTCGTTCCCTGTCCTTAAGTCTATTCTTAAATCTATTCTGTATGCACGCTTGTCAACTTTAGTGGTTTTTTTATACCAAAAAACAACGATATTACAGGTACAGTACAGGTACAAGCGAGCTCTCCAGGTAAAGTTTGAATTTTTTCCGCGTGCAATCGTTTATCTACAACGACCAAAATAAGAACATTATTTCCATTAAAGTAACGCTTTTCCAACTATGGGAGAAATGCCACGCTGCCACAGTGGAGGGCGACCTCGCTATACCGATGGCACCACGAGTACTTTGAAAGGTAAAAATTAAGAAAAAATGTTATTATTTTTGATACTAACCATAGTATGTGTAATGTCAAACTAACGTATGAATCGTTATTGTGACCCCCCGATGCAGTATCTGCTCAGTTGCGTCAATGGCTCATACCCTATGCGACTTCGGGCAATCCACGTGCTTTCATGTCCCGCGGCGTTCAGATTCGTGCTAAACCTCTTCAGGAATTTCCTAACGCCCAAGATGCGGGCGCGGTTACATGTCCACTCCTCGAGGTGACTACTTTCTTTTCATTCTTTTACCTAGCCATAAAGTCAGCGCTTATGTGCACCTAGTATAGGAAAATACTGAATGCTTCGAATCGTTGCCCCCAAACATTCAGAAGGGAACGGTCAGGCAAAAAAAAAAGTCAAGCAGACATATTTATATCATTTCAACTGACTTAACCGTTCTATATGCCTAACTACGTTCACTATACGAGCTACAAGCCTTTTTCGTATGTCGCTAACCCGTTGTTTACTGACGTTTTTCGTTTTGTTTAGTGCTAATCTCGATAAGTATATCGACGGTTCCATTCTTCCCGAAGAATATTCATCTACTTCGACTAGTGGCCCATTTTCAAGTAAACCCACATTCGATAAAATGTCACAATACCATGATTGGTTTGTGACTCGAAGTTACTATGGAGTCCAAACAGACAATGCTGCCAAGTAGTCGTCTACCTTGTTGTCATTGAAGATCATTGACATTTTACCAGCTCATCTTACCAAATCGATAGCTAAATGCCATGAATGAAACTTAGCACTCCCTCTGGCACAGCACCATCGTAACTGTTTGGGTTTGCGCGTTATTTGTTCTTTTCGATGGCAGAACTCAGCTGAGGACATGCATACACTGTACTGCGTATATTTAGAGATTAGCTTGTTCATAATCCTCTGACCGTGTCTGGAATGATAATGTGTATAAACATATCCTACACCTAGAGAAAACTCTTCGATAAGTACTGACAATGTATCTATTTATTTGGAAAGGTACGCGCATCGCCAATCCACTGAAGAGATCTTCGCTGAAATATAGAGCTATGGATTATCGATGTAGCACACGGACGGTCTTTTAGGTATAGTACAGTCTATTTTAAAACGGCATGTACTTTGCGGATCTGTTGATTGTTTCACGTTTTTTTTTTTTTGGCCACAGCTTCATTTGGTAACCAATCTAGAGAGCTAGCGATGCTACAAGCTGGCCCGACAGTAAATGGAACAAGTGTTCTTTTCTAAAAGTTCTACATGTTTTTACTTGGTGTACATGGCTTTTTTCTGGTTATAAAAACATTTCTAAAACCACAACCCCGGCTGTACGCGAATGTGGAAAGCTTCAGGCAAATAAACGACGTAGCCACTTTCTTTAGGTTGTATTTGGGCTAGTCTGGCGTTTCGCTTACGCTTCATAACAAATGACCGACTCGAAAATACTAATCCACACATGGTTTTCAGTGGTCCGCTTTTGACCAAGACGGAGTTATGTTAAGGCGGTCGTCTGACAGCCTGATCATCGGACCCAATACAAATCTGGACTAGGAAGCTTGGACGAGCTTCTTTTCGACTAGAAATGCTCAATCAACCTTTCCGGGCTGAATGATGCGCTCATGCTGTAGTGCTAGTGCATTACGGCGACACCACAATTGATACCTCGAGCTTTATGCTTGGTGCTCAAGCTGTTAAGTATTGCTTCCGGTCGGTTCCAAAGTTAGACCACTTTATATATATGGTCCTACGCGTATCATTCCATCGTATATGCAGTAATATTTCATATAGTTATTACTGAACTATGTAGTCAATACCTACTAACACTTAACAAAGTGAATATACTCATTTTCATTATTACTGATTAAAAAAGAAGTTGAACATGTACTTATTCTTATAAACGCGCACAGAGGTCCCGCTAACTTCGCATAAACATTCATTCTCAAGAGAAAAAATACAGCTGCTCTTGTAGATTTTTCTGGAAGCATATTTTCCCATTACATAAACAATAGGTACAATTGAACTGCTACTACCATATATGAGAGATACATAAGTTTCACACATCGGCGACCGAAACGCTATAAAATGACCTAAAGGTCGAGATACCTTCTATGTGACGAAGAAAGAGATTCGGTGAGTGAAAACAAGGTGAGAAGCCCGTTAATAGGGCGACGCGCCTCAGCACTCAAGAAAAACAAATCAATTAAATTCTGATAGAACAGCTGAAACGATAGGAACGTCGTTTATTCAAGCAAATTTTGTCGTACATTAGTGGGGGCCAAGGGCCCACCCGCACATATATATATATAACTGCTTATTATTTTTTGCCCTTATACAACTGTAAGTTTATTTCGACTAGAATCGTTTATATGCTTTATTCATATAATTTTCCAAATAAATGGTCTCATTCCACGGTTGCGGTTGACTATTGTTTTATACGATAAACTAAAATACTTAGAAAACAGTGCCACATTCACGTTATATACTTTGCGGAATCAATATGGATCAGTTCTCGAATAGTTCGTTAAAGCAGTAGCTCTCAAATTAGTACGAGGCTTGGTTACGAGAATGATGCGACACTTCACGGTACCATTCCCTCAATGCATTATTATAAAATCGAATTGCTGATAGTAACGAGAATAATATTGTTCCAACTGCCTAGCCGTTGTACCTCTAGAGCCAGCTTTAGTTTAAACATACAGTGGCAAGAAAACTAGATCAGCTTCACTATTGCTCGAACCTCAATCGTGATACATCACTAGATAGAGCGACGCGTGACGTAATAAGACGTCTTAGATGGTATTGGCTTTATACGAGCTAAGGCTTCTCGGGTTAGATTATTTTTATGAGATAGTTCCGTATTAAAAATGGGAACGAGGCGTACATACGATTTCACGAACACGTTTTGTCCGTACAATCGTCTATACGCACGCTAAGTTATCTCTAGAGCTTCAAAAGCTGATGACACTTCATCATTTACTCGAACCGTCGTGCAATTACGTTATTGGCAAGGCATGAATCAACAACAAAGCGAATAATTGCCTGTGTTCCTAAAATTGACGCTCTACAAAGCGGCCGATAAGCGCTCGTTACGCGTAACGACGATGTCTTCCGATTTTGACGCACAACTCGATGATCCGGTTATATTTCTGCGAAAAGATGCTGCCACGACGCTCGTGGGCTTCTTCTTTGTCACCGTCATGTTTTTCCTTGTATTCTATGTTATCGTCGTCTGGGATCGAGGAACGGTTTCCGCCTACAGTAAGGTTATAGTATTGCACGATAGAACTGCTATGAAACCATCTGGGCTGCACGCGACAAGCCGTAACGAAAGTCCGGCCGAAATTTTACGAAATGTCGTTAAGTGCTACGATGTCATTGTAAGCAAGCGGCAATTCTCGGTTAGAGTAATAGGTAAATTCGAGCCTCTTTCGTAACAGTTTAATACCGCATAGCGAACCGGAAAAGAAGATGGTTTCATACTACAAGACAAATGATTTCGTTCTAGCCTTTGCCGAAGATACTCGTTCTACCATTAAAGAATATGTTCGAAGATGTTGGCTTCTAAGTGTGCCCCATTACAGCGATCTCGAACAACCGCAAACTAGCTTGCACGTTCCATTGCTAAACGACAAATGCTGCTCAACATCGTATGTCACTCATTGATGCCCCCACCTCCGTCTGTTCGCCGAAGGTCAAACATGGGAGTTGGATTCATTTTTTTCCTTGAACTAAATGACCACCAAACGCTATTTCGAAAAAAGTCGTAAATCCGAAAATAAGAACGTACCCAGCTTAAGCACATCCTAGTTCTCGTTCTAATCGCCATTAATTCAAATCTCGTGTTAAGTAACATAAACTATTCGTATTTCGTACCATTTATGTTTCTGTAATTTTTATTTTTCGATTGAGACTACAATGCGTGGTCGTACGATGGGAAAAGAGGAAAGGGCCCAAATCATTGGAATCGCATCATCGAAGAAAAATTTGACCCTCCAAATCATTGTGGGGGGAAGAACCAGTCACCGATTTGGATCAATACAACGAATCTGCCAGAGCGCCAGTGTCCAGATAAACTACGTTGCAAGCGTCCACTATCACTACGTCTGATCAACTACAATGATCCGGTAGATTCAGGAATCATCCGCGTTAATCACGAACAGCGTATGTTATTACTATAGAATTGTTTAGATCAATTCATTTGTACACTGGAACATGTATCGCTGTATAAAAACAGTGACAGCTTCGGTAGCCAGCCGTGAGGGTTTAGGGTGATTAGTCATTTTGAGGGTGGTGTGGACGACGACTTTGGTTCGTTTCAGGCAGTTTAATTGCAGAATATGGGTTCACTAGCACGTTTGTGCTATGCAAAATATAGTGGGCGCCATAGCAGAAATAACGGAGACAGGTAAACCTATCTTAAGGCTCTAGTAAATAGACTACGGTATGAGACTATCAGAAATAGCTTTCATAAGTGTCATAAGAACAAGTTTCAAATGAGTGATTAATATTAACAAAACGAGATAGATCTTATTCTTCTCGTCAACATATCCTAAGCTGTTTGCTGTCGACAGGGCCCCACAGTTGATGATGTGGCTTTAATAGTTTATGAAACATTTAACGAACAAAATAACGTTTATTATTTGGTTTATTCGTAGTGATTATAGCAAACATGACGGGAAATCGTTTTGTGCTCGACCCAAACGGTATTGTCTACAAACTTCAAGAGATCTACTTTCGGTTTGGAAAAGATACAATGGAAACGGAGCACTCCCTGGACAACGAACTCTTTGCATTAGAGGTTCGTGAAATTGTCCTAGCGTAGATTTATGAATTAATAGGCATGCGGTGACCAGGGCGAATCGCTGAAAATGCAGCAAAAAAAATTGGAAGAAAGATGAACGTTGGCAGGAAACGTAGAAAATTCGATGCATGCTATCTCGTCACATGCTCTGTTTTCATGTATGAAAAGTTAGCCGAACCTCTCCCAAATACCGTCCATGATCTAATTATTTGACAACATTTGGCGTAGTTGAAAATCATATGAAAATTTGCTCTGTTTTTTTTATGTTTTTTATCTTTATTTAATCAACTGGATGCTTATAAATGATGTGACTATAGATCGGCCCTAGGTTACTTGTATGGTAGCAATAAATACCAAAACTATTTTCGCCATTCCGTTCGAGTCGAATTGACTGGCAGAACTGACCAAGGTACAATGACATCTTATCTGTTACATCTCAGGTTCAATTTGTTCATTATCGGCTCAAAGATCCGCTCAGTACGACGGCGAGTATAGTTGTGCTTGCTGCATTTTTCCAGGTAAGTTAATTCTCCTCCAGTGACACACAGTCGAAAATTCGATTTTTTTAATGATTATCATTTGCCCTACCACTTATAGATACCTACCGTGTACTGACACCGCTAAAGGTATCTATAAACGTCTCCATTTTGGTTCACAATGTTCGAAGTACAAACAGTGCTTTGATTCATAGTCGTGATGATGAAAGATGCAGATTTCGATGTACTGATGGGGAAAATAGGAATGTAGCAATAGGCTTCCTCAGGCTACCACTTTATATTGAAATTCATTGCTAATCATTGTTTATTGTGTGCACCGCTTGGCTTACCTGCGCAGGTTACATCGCAGACGAATACTAATCTCCAGAATTTCCTCAAAATGTTTGGATCATACCCACAGCAGTTCTTTCACCTGCGTCTCGCCAACATTTTACCAAAAAAAAGTCACCAAGTTACGATATCGAACGCGTGAGTTAGCATCGTCCAAACGTTTACGCGTTAGGTTATCACGTATCGCCGTATGGTACGTGGCGAACGCTAAGAACCGTTAGCTGTAAACAGATAGCTAGCCAAAGGAAAAAAAATTAAAAAGCGTCTTTTGCCGCTGTATAAAATCAATAGACAACAAGTGCTATCTATTAGCTCGGGTGAGACCGAACAGTGAGCGGATTCGGTCGCTGCCATTGCTTTCCAACGATGTGTCTTTTTTTTTTTACACCTGCTTGAAACATGCAAATATATTAAAACTATGGTGAACTAACAGGAACGTATTAATGCACGGAGCGATTTCATAAGCTTCGTACAGATTGTAATCACTACCTATTTGTTTTAATTTATCGGTAAACCTTCAATTTGGTATGCTCCTAAATTGCGGGCGGCATTTAAGCCTTTTGTACACGATTGAGATAAACGCGATCAGCCTCGCCAGGAACAAGTCCATCTTATAGACATCAGGACGACTGATCAGACAGGACAGGAAGGCATAGACGATAGAAAATCACATATGCAATTAGTGTTATTGTAACGGAGTCAATAATGGTGAATAATCTTAGAAAGTAGGCGGTAAAGAACTACGTAAAGAACTTTATGAGTAAGTTGTTTAATTTAAACACTTACTATTAATAAAGTTAAATTCGGCTAATACTTACAAGTTCAAGGGTATGTACAAGAATGGACTCGGGCTTTGGGAATAATTGAAGTGAACTGCTTAACTGAAACATAAGGTGACTGCGTAGCTTACGGAAGTACAGTGACGTTCGCTCGCGCTATTTATGTGTACACATAGTGTGCATGCTTTACTGTAGAGAGGTGTAAAGTTAGAGCTTCCATTGTTTCTTAGGATAACCCTATTTTATGTTCATCTGTGCTATGCTCCAGCTCCTCACACGACCTTGTCGTCAAATCCTACATAACCTACCAGGGTTCCCTTACGATGCCTCCTTGCACAGAGAACGTGAGATGGTACATCATTCTCGAGCCGGTTGAAATCAGCCTTACTCAGGTTTAGTTGCATTAAATCCCATTCTATTAATTGTGCTGTATGTACTGATTGTGACATTCGGCTTTTGAACGAACGCAAAAAATGGCGATCCTATGCTTAGTTACCGGCCAAGACGCATAATAAAAAAAAAAATAGGCCTAATTAAAAAAAACATCGATGCAGTTCTTCAGCATGTAAACTCATTCATGTAGATTCATAATGCAAGTTTGTGCAAAAAAAATAGGACAAAGTTGCATACTCATATTGTACGTAGCGTATAATAACGAAAATACATAGAAATTTTCTAGTTACTTTAATTTAATAACAGTACAGTCTGGGAATTATAAATTGGCCTACGCACTGTCGTAGAGCGTTCTCTAAGCCAAATCACTGACTAAAAAATTTGCTATAAATTTAACTACTATTTTTTTGGCACTAGATAAATACATTTCTGCTTTTGATAGCTTCATATATTTCTTCCCGTGTAAGCTTAATAACATTATCTTCATTATTCTGGGGAATGCGATAAATCATTGGCAGCTACGACATATACGCTTAGCGTCCTCAACAAATACCGAGGCTGGTGATAATTGCCGACCTTTGCAACCGGTTAACAATCGAACAATCGAAATTGTTCGGTACAATACAAGAACAAGCAGAAAAAACACACGTCATAAGTTATGTTAACCACCAATAATAATAAATACTCGAATTGTTTATATCGTGTACATTTTGTTGACAGTGGTAAATTTGGTCACGAAGAAACGTTAAGTCCACTTACTTCTTAGTGGGTCTTCATAATGGTCGATTAGTTAATTACTAACGTTGTATAAAATGCTTAACAGTAACGATAATTAATAATAAAGACATTATTTTTCAAACAAAAAAATTATGGGAAGATTCGTTATGTGTCTGACTATTAGTTTCTCTGCCGATTCCATCGTAGCTAAGAGTCTGAAATATTCTTGTTTGACGTACAACAGATGTATGAGCAACATATAACATAGTTCCTATTTCCTTCCATATTCCTTATTTAAAGATAAGCTTTAGCTTTCGTTTCCGTCTAATTCCATGATTCAGATGCCTGCGGTCCTCATCAAACATCCTTCATTGTAAGATTAATTTAAAGGCTTCGTATCTTACATGAAACAAAGCTTAAAATGTTTAACAGGAATGGAAAGAGAGGGCGAAGGAGGGAGGTTAGGAGGCAGATAGAGAGATGTGTGATGTAACCGCTATGCGGTTAATAACCGCTAATATGAGGTCTGTCAGAAGGTAATCTAGTTTTTCGGCTGAGCTTTAATAGTGCGAAGTAAACGGGTTTCGTTAATTGCTTTAAACTCGATTTTCAATAGATCTTTTTATCGTTTTTTGGCCTGTAAATAACTGTCGATTGAGTATATGATGCAAAACAAAACAGATTATTGATATTTGATGGTGAGGCCATTTTCTCTTCGAATGTAATTTGCATTGTATAAAATGGCGAATTTGTCACACATTTGAAAACAATACGTTTATTTCCAAGCCCAAACCTGATGATAAATTTGATGAACAAGTAACTTGTCCACGCTATATGAAACATATCTATTGACCAAAGAAGTAAACAAACTGTTATTATTTTCAGACCAATGGAAATCCATTAATATTAAAGAGGGCAGACTACGGAACGTCATGCGCGTAAAAGCGATTATTCTACGCTCAGATTATTAGGTAAATCTTAAAACTTCATAACATAACGTAGCGAGTAGTGCATCTATGGCGTAACTTAGGTCGCAAGAAACATATTTTTTTGGAACTACGCCCTTGTCCAAGGGATTATAGGTCTGGGTCACTGTAATGGACACACATTCCAGACCTGCATACGATTTTGTAGGATTTTCTTTAGTGGGCCAATGTTCTACGCATACTTATCTAATTGAAACGTGGATTCGTTCACTTTGGCGGTTCATGTAAACCAAGGTCTGGTTTTAATAAGTACGATCAATCGCGTATGGCTAAAGAAGAAAAAATATATTTAGGGGTGACTGTTTTCATTTCGCTGTGATACACACAGACGAACACAGTGATATAGCGTCCTTCGGTAGATGTTCTCTACTGAAAGCTCAGATTTCAATACGGTTTTATTATATGCACTTGCCGAATCTCATAGAAAGAGGATCGGTGAGGACATGAAGTCCGCTTTTTGGCCTTTTGCTTTCCGTTCAGTTTACTCGCCGACTTTATCTACTCAGATATGAAAAGTATGCCTTCATAAACAGATGATCGGGTCACATAAGACTTCATAGACTTTCATCGTAGCTATAAACTGCAATATTGTCTATGGTTTTTTTTATAATGAAGACATTTCCAGCATACGTCCATCAACGAGAGGATTGTTCTCATTGTTATTAGCAGGGTCGTGTAAAGCAGCGGTAATCTTGGAAGAAGTTCGCATGAACAACCCACTTTTTCAAGTATACTGAGCGCAAGCCTAGCTGTTGTAGTTCAACACAATGCGAAAAAAAGAAAGCGTATAATATCTGTCAATGTCTTTAACTCGGACGAAAAAACGTTTGTCGAAGTTTTCGAAAAGATCAACAATGTTCAAGAAAAAACAAGTTAACCAAAACACAGCCAGTGTAAGGGGTCATGGTTTCAACCCACCCGCGTAAATCGTCGTGAACCCTTTCATCAGTTTTTGGAACCATGCTGGACAACTAGCTACCTATCTAGACAGAACTAACAGAGTGTGAGGTATCCTAGGTTTCCTAGCAAGGTGACTTAGGATCCCTTTCTGGGTGCAAAATTCCTGGTTATAATGATCCCTTTTTAAACGAGATTGGGTAATAATCGAAAGGAAATACCCAGCTAAACAAAATGCGTATCACAGAGTAGCACTTTCAGTAATCTAGATCGAATTAGCTTATTAGAGCAACAAGCCCTTATCCATAGCTGCACTATTGATACCGTATTGCCACAATAATTTCGCCGTCTGGCCGAAACACTACATTCAAGCACCTACTGAAACGGGTCTATCAAGGCAAAAATTCACAAAGCAGACTGTTTCTATCGCTGACTTTCAGCTAATCTTTTCGTGACAAACATCGGTATTACTATTTTAGCTTTAATTCGAGGACCTGTCAGGTTTGGAAAGACTCGTAGAAGAACTGCTGTATTTAACGCCTTCTTCATATACTAGATTTTTTCTAAAAGATCAAAATGCGTCCTCGCTCAGATTTGAAATTAGGTCATTGCTGTGCCGTTCAAGTCAGTACTTTATAATATAATAATAATTCAATAGCAATAATCGAATCATTGGTGGGTCACGTAGAACCCAAGTCGCAGCTACAATATTTTCATTAAGGTAGATCCCGACCCAAGCCGTGATCTACGCTTTCCATCAACTTCATGTCGTCTGCTACGAAAGGCAGGCAACAAACACTAAGAGTGATTCCGCGTCACAAAAAAATAGAACATCTTTATCTGGACACCAGTAAAGGATGGCCTTTAGCTGTTGTTAAATTTCGTTCCGTCACCATAACGCAGAACTTTCAAACATATAGCAAATAAACTAGGTGATACTTCTGTGTTGTTTCTAGATCATCTGACCTTTCTGGTTCATTGAGTGGCACCTCAAACACGCGGAAAGTTATAGTGGGGCCTGATACCCGATAATGTCTTCCCCTTCAGCTCGTGATAGTTCCAATGATGGTGGCAATTTTTCTGGTGGAGCTAAATGGCACTCGCCAGATTCGCCTTTTCTTCGCATGATGGGAAAAGTGGCTGAGTGCAGCTCACCGAAACAGTTGCTCGCGTTCTGTAATGACCTTCTGATTGGATGGAGCGAGCAGAATCGCTGCCTCTGTGCTGTTGATATCGACAATGGCGACAAAGAGGACCGATGTTATGTAAATATAAGTGTTAATCTTTCCAGATGTATATATTTGCTGCGTGTCTAGTATTTGTATACACACTATGAAAATGTAGAGATATATCTAACGTACCTCTAACTATAGGTACAAATCTAATAAATCTCAGGTATTCGAGAACTATTGCATTCAGTAAATGTAACAATATTGCTCAATGTTTTCATTTTTATTTTTTTAACGTGTACATTATCAAAATTTCTTTGTCATCGGACGAAGATCGAAAAAATAAAATAGAACTTGTCACAAGCTTAGTTTTTAAACGGTTCATACGTTTTTTTAGTACCTCATTATATGAAATTCTAACAATTCATTGAATGTTCACCGTTCGAATTCTTTTTTCCCTTAATGAATAATCACGAAATTGAATCCCGCTCGTGCCAGCATGAGAGACCTTCGACAACTGTCCACAATAATGAGCCTTTTTGTGCAAATGATAAGTCTTATATTGAACCACCTTGAAGAATTGTCATCTTCTAACTCTTTCCCTCAACAGGAACTATCTCTTAGCCACAAAGTGACGTTCTCTGTTGATCGTCTCTGCCCATCACCGACTGGGAATCTTCTTCTATGGGGCGCCAATGGCGCCGTCGTCGTAGCACTTCCTCACCATGATAACTTCAGAAACGCCACAGGGGATGCCCCACTACAATGCAAGTGAGTACAATTAACTTCCTATGTTCAAGATATATTTAGTATGTTTAGGTGCATTACGTTAGATTGCTTTTATTATTACCCATACATATGTATACGAGAATTGATTAGAGGCTGCGTTCATCTAATACACCTGGTAATCGTTTGTGTTTGCTTGTGACAACTGCCTGCCAAAAAAGTCCATAAATATTCTATGAGCTTATTAACAAAAATTGTTATTATTATAACAAATGAAAACGATAACACAAGAAAACTCCGCTGTGTTTGCTGTTACGGTTTTAGGAGTTGGGGTATAGGAGAATTATTGCTAATGCAGACAGCAGGCCTCGAGGTGTTAGGCCTCCAGTGGGTTCCGGACTCTGCCAGTGAAGTAGTGATGCTAACGAGTGACAATTGCCTTCGGCTATTTGATATCTCGAAAAAGCACATGAATGCATTAACAACGGTATTTAGATTAAGGAAGTTTGTGTACTTGGAGCTACTGAGATACACAGAACATAAAGCGGAATATGACATTTAATATATGGCATCTAGCGGCTGTTTATCTTGAACACGAGTAAAGCTCCGCTTTGTAAAACTCGACATTTGCATTTGGTAACAAGCTTTTGATAAAAGTGAACAAACTTGAGCTTTTGCTTCGTTCTATGTAAGAACTTCATGTGTTGAGTACTTCTATTAGTTGATTAAATATTTTGATTACGATTACATTACTAATTTGCTGGTTTTCGTGGCACGCCCGCAGGTACAAGTCATCCGACGGTCGCTATCGTTGTCACGAATGAACTTTAGCATTGCGTCGGCTACAGGCTCTCAGTTAGTGGACTTTGCATTTGGCAGATCTGCACAAGAAATATTTTGTCTGAGCGCTTCGGGATCGATTTATCATGTCACCGGACTGGAATCGACAGCAAACAGGTGTGTGATCAATATATATGGCGAATCTGCGTAGCTACGTATTGTTTGCAGTAATCAGAGCACGTTTACTAAGTATTTTCGTATATATTGTCTTATTTGTATTATTCATATTATCATTATTTATCTTTATTGTGCTTTTGTAAATCACCAAAATCTAGTACAGCTCAGATTATCAACCATACCGACCCAATTGATTTAGCCAGCTAGCGCTGTAGTGCTTGATTACTCATGTAACCCTTTTTATCTGTATTTTGTATACGTTCTTCGGTCCGTAGTAAGCCTCGAGTATCGAAAAGACCTTTAGTAATGTTGCCTGAAGCCGAGGATAATTTCGGCTCGGATGGGTTTGCTCTTCTATCACTCAACTGCAATCCGGCTGACTCCACAATTCTAATTTTGGGAGGCACAGGCGGAGTCCTGTACCATTGTCTTGTTCTTCCCACAGAAAGCCCCGATGTGGAACCTGAAATATACATTTTTGAACAGGTAATGTCTCAATAAACGTTAAGTGTAACGGCGGTATGGATTGTATGTTTGTAATGGATTCTACGTACTGTATCAAGCACGTCGGTATTCAATGCTTACTGCAGGCATTTCTCTTTCCTGACTACAGCATAGGCTAATAATTTACCTTGCATTTGTACTAAAGAGTACGGTACATATATCTACCTTCTGTATACTAATTCTTACGGTAAATATTACTGTTATCGGATTTTGAGTTTAGAATTTCTTTTCGAAATCATCTGCTTTTAAAACCTATTAGAGCGGGCCGAAGTGCATATTGTAGTTATCTTATCGATATCGATTTGTCTCCTGGCTTGTGAACAGTATATGGTAACGATATTAAACATATTCTTCATTCTGATCTGATTGGGCTCTGATTTTCAGCTAAGGTTGAACTTGACATACTCCGAAATGACGGATCCGAACGATGTCATCCGCTGTCCAATTCTTTTGCAACGGGATCCCGCTCTGTCCAATCGTTACTTCGCCCACCACGATTCCGGTGTACATGTTGTAATCATTCCATTCACTGAGCGCCTATTCACATTTGCCCAGCAGGGAGGTAGGATTGTTAAAGTACATGTATAGCACTACAATGGTAGTTAGTTTTTAAACGCTTGTGTAGATAACTACAGTCAAAAGTTTATTATAAAAACATCATAACGCAAGTCAAACAGGTGCACGAATATGTGCAACAATAGCAATCGTTCGCGCTGACAGGAAGTTAATGTTGGCTGTGGTACATTACTGTGCTATTACAACTTGAGTTCCTAATTAGAGAACATGAGTAAATTTCGTAAGTACACTCATTTTATGAGCTTTTTTAATAAGAATTTATATAACAATCGTTTATAATGTGGTAGACTAATGGATCCAATATTGGAGAATAGCATGAAAAACAGGGATCGATAGGCGACTCAAGCTTATGTGGTTGCTAAGCAATTTCAAGATTTTTGCGGCTTGCTGTCTTTCCGTAGACACGGATACCTCAACGAACGTACTTGAAGTTAGAAACTGTATAAACAGCGCCAGCCCCAATTCGTTAGCGGAACAGGTTGTTTGCACACGGACGACTGAAGCATCTGCGCCAGATGCACCTCTGGGACTATGCGTTCTGCCCGCCTTGCCGTCACCGTGGTTAGCTATACTTACATCAGGTCTCAAGGTCGTCAATATTCCACTAAGCAGGTAGACGCTTACAAGCACGCATGAGTAGATTACTCTTATATGTGTTATAATTGCGGTAGTACTAAGGGTTCCTAAGAAAATGCTGGAAATATAATAGCATAGAAGTATTAAATGAAGTAAGAAGGTAGAAGATTCTTCGTATCATCAGGAAATATATTATAAAGATCTATGGAACCGAATGATCTAAGACTAGTTGTATGCAAATACTTTGGGCAAATATGTTATTATATGCAAATATAAAATTGCTCCGTTAAATTATTACTGTTTAAGGATCCGAACGATTTACCAAATAGCCTCAACCTTTACTTGCACATTTGTGTCGGCTTAGGAATTTAAACAGAAACTTATTGCAGGTATCGATTCGAGAAATCATTAAAGAATATTTTGTTAACTGAAGAACCTCTTTCGGAAAGCGCGAAGAGTGGAATACCACCGACAGACTTCGAAAGAGAAATTAAAATGATTCTCACAGGGTCACGGGTACCGGTGCTAGTTCAAGCGGACAAGGTAGGTCAACTCTATCACATTGAACTAAAGCCCAACGTAATTTAAGCTCAACTGAACTCACCAAATAATTCCGCCATCATATTAAGACTAAATTAAAATTCTAAAATGATGAGTACTATGACTCGTGTATAATTTCTTACTGTTGGTTTGTAATAGATGCAAATTTACGAAACACACCCTTATAGGGTTAGGCTTTATGAGTCGCGAAGAGAAACGTCGCGGGAGTGCCTTTTCTTAAACGTGTCTGATTAGAAAGTCACAAAAGCGATTATGAAAAAACCAGAGAGCGCGTAGACTTAACAAATTCGAGCCAGATCTTTCTATTGACAGCGTCGAATTAGCATCTTGTTAAGTGGCCATAGATTTGAGAACGCCTTTGCATTTATTTCACTATCATATACTGCATCCTCTTTCAGGTAACCAGTCCTAAAGAATTACTTGAATTAGCTCTCCAGACAACGCAGCGATTTCGGGAACAACATTTTGCTCAATTAATAGCTGTAAAAAAGCTTATCGAGGACACGAGTCAATCGTTGCGTGAAACAAAGGACTTGCAATCTGGGGAGCTGAGACAGTTGGAACAAGACTTGAATGACGTTACCGTTCAGAACCAGAAACTAAATCAAAAACTTAGCGCATGCGAAGAACAGAAACGCAAGCTTATGCTAAGGTTTGTGCTTCTTAGAAGGAAAAATTGACAAGAATTTTACTGAAGCTGCAATAAGTGGACACTGACAAATGTACAGTGTGATTTTCATATATATGAGAGAAAACCATAAGAATACAAGAGGAAGAGAATAGCTGACATCAACTCATGGTATACATCAGAAGTTCTTTTATTTGTTATTAGATTTTTTTTATCTTCAAGAAAAATTTTATTTCAATGATACGTGTAATGAATCACTTTTTGTGTTTTCTCATGTTATGATTGCAGATTGCATGACGTCATACAGATGGTACAACGTAAAAATCCATCCGCAGCCAACCCGCAAATGGTGAAAGAAGTTCAGTCCCTCTACGAAAGAATGAATCGACTTGAAAGCGTTCTCGAGTCGACCAAAGAGCGTAGAAAGAACTGTGAAGATCTTGAGCAGTTCGAGCGTATACTCAAACAGGAGTCAATGAGTGCCCGGGATGCTTTTGCAGCTTTGGGTGAAAGTCAACGGGTCGCGTTGGAAAGTAGACTTAAAATCAAGTAAGCTATTGAGATAGTGACTATGTTTTTCAACTAACTAATACGTTATAAAACAACTGCCAGTTATTCTATGATTTAGCACAGCGATAATAGTACTAATAGATAAATCATAGAATGCTTGACATTTACGTATTTGAGAAATTGACATCTTTCTAAATCAATAGATTGTAAATAGTTCTGTGTACAAATAGTTTAGTACAGTGTTTGTCGGTGATTTCATGTGAGTAGTGGACACGAAATTGGCAAGATGGTCCGTGAAGTCAAGGAGCTTCTCGCCGACGTTGAATAATAACGATGTAACCAAAAAAAGAAGACAAAAAAGTAACACCAACTCTTGCTTAAAAGTGATTGCTCCTACCAGTTGATTATTGTGCAAAGCTATACGCTAGTAGAGCCATCCTGTACGAGTTTGATGATACTCCTTCAAAGAACACGACACTCAGATACCGAAGAGGACAAACCATTAAATTATGTAAAATTTATAGTAAGCCACTCAGGGCAACAGTAACCCTCTATTGTTATCTGTCCTATAGGAGCGACTTCTCAGTGAAGGGATAGAAGTGAAATAAACTCTATAAACTGAACAAAAGATAGCCCATCGTTCTTTTTACCGACAGTATAATATTGAGTTACTGCCTAGACACGGATATTTTCAGTAAGAAATTTTTTCAGTAGTAACTTAAATTTTTGCCGGCATTACTTTTAAGGCTCGTAGCTTTCGGCAACTAAGTCGAATTGTTTAAGTGCTTACTAATAGCATTATAAATATCTGGAAAATGCTTCACATCAACTTGTATCTTAACACCTACAGCAAAAAGGAACGAAAAAAGAAAAAAAAACGATGAGTCTTACAGTATAGACTTCAGCATATACCGGCCGGAAGGAAAAACATTACATTTGTCAGCTGACAGGAAGAATCGCGGCACGATTGGCATGAAACTAGCGCAAAGCTAGATTAATTTGGTGTGACTACATGACGCCTATATGTATATATACGCATTCGTGTCTGTATACCATGACAATGTAAATATTGCATAGAAGATAAATGTACTAAGATGTATATTAGAAGTGAATAAAGAATGATGTCTATATAACATTATATAACTATATAAGTACTTCTAGTTCACAAGTAACTGTGGAAGCAGGATTTATAACATATAAACAAGTAACCAATGTCTTTAGGAAGTGTAATTTAACATTATTAATGATTTTGAGAACCATCGTCACAAAATCTCTTCAAGAATAAAAGGATATTTTAACATAGTTCAGCTTTTTTTAATTTCTAAGCACGAAATATTTGTTTGACGCTCATGACTCATTGAAGTTCTACATCATTGGCGCTCATTGAAGTAGTTGACATGAAGAAGAGGTCGGCGGTTTTGTCTTGCCGTCACTAAAAAATGCCTGTTAATGTACTCTAAGATTTGCCAATGACGTATACAACACGACAAGTATAATTAAATAAACCATTTACTACGGAGATTAAGTTTCCTATAACTAATGTGCTTACCACTTCTCTCTCAATCAATCTCAAAAGACACCCCAGTTTTTGTTTAATAGAATTGTAAGTGTGAACCAAAGCTCTCACCTTTCAATTAGTAATTATGTTTATATACAAACATCTGTTATTCCTGAACAAGTTGATACTTAAACCATTAGACGACTGACCCCTAGAACGTGATTCTTACACATCATAGGATTCACTATTTGGCCTATGTGAAATGCGCACTAGAACTGCGTGAAATTCTAATCTTACGTTAGTTGTCTGGTTGCCTCAGCATAAAAACTTCTATCAGTTAATTAGCATGCATTTGTATATAAAATAATGAGCATTGTAAGACGTATGACGTCCTTCATAGTGTCTATTTTGTTTCTTAACTTGAATTAAGTTTTACTCACATTCAACTCTCCTTCTGCTAGTTGTTTGTCATGGTCCATGCCTGTACAGTTGACCCTATATACAACCCTTCACAACAAAGCTTATAATTCTGGCCTAACTTACAATTGTTTCATCAAGGGTTTGATTTCTTATGCTTTTATTCTGTGTACATAGCCAACAAGATTTAAGGCTTTTAATACAGCACGTGCCATCGGAAATGACTACGATTTAGGGCGCTATCTTCGTCAACTTAGATATTTGGTAAGAATTTTTTGCGGCCTAAGGCCCGCGCTCATTGTACGATTTGGCCATCTCAAGCTGCCGCACTCGCGTGTACATCGCTGAACCTAAAAGGACGAGTGCGTTTGAGGTCCACCACAAAATCGATTTCACCTGTTAGGAAACATAGTTGAGGTAAACAGATTAGAGATGAAGTGGTAGTTTGACCAAGGGATGCACTCAAGCTGCCTCGAAAGTTTTGTTGTGTGTGTTGAACCTTAATCGTAACGTGCTGTCCAAGGTTGCGTGCACCTCCTTTGCATTACCCCTAACTACGAGAAAATTTGTTGGTTGTTGCTATTACTGCCCTGACTAACAAAATTATGCTGTCTGCATATGCGTGGTGCACGTAAAGAAAGCACGGGATTGTTATTATTTTCATTGATTCTATAAATTTGTTTTGTTGGAGTTGTTGGTTTTACTAATGTTAAAACAAATAGAAACACTACTGAATAAAATGGTAAAGTCGAAGCCATCATATTCATGTAATCTTTCTACAGGGGACGCCCTCTATTCCCTAAAACGTTTTGACTCGTATCACGATGATATTTAATATTATCACAGGTCTTTCTGTTATGATTACTACATTGCAACAATCTGGTTGATTTCTAGAGGAAAAAATAAAGTTACGCAACTTCGCTTTTGTTTCTTACAGCTAGCTTGATCTGACGGAGATTAGCAAATTGAGTTCAAGCAAAAAAATAAACTATTATGTACAGCTATAATTACAAACAGCTGACTTCGTCTCTTCAAATCGTCAAAGCCTTGGCTTTTTACTGTTTGTACCTTTCTCAGATTACAAAGAAAAACTTAAATTTTGTTAGAAAACGGTTCAGATAAAGGATCATGCTATCTTGAAAATTTTATTTACGAGGACCAGTAAAATAGAAATGTCAAAAGCTTGAATTCGAAAGATCCTTCGAATACGAAGAGATATATAAACTATGTAGGAGGAAATATCTTTCGTAGATCAACCAAAAAATTTTCAAACCTGTTTAGAGAATGCAACAGCTAACACGGTCTGTACGCTGGCTTTTGCTGTACCAGATACGTTATGGGTGAGAGGAGATGTCACCTGCGCCCAATACAAAACAAACAATAAACACCTTATGCTAAATAATGGAAACTTGGCTATGTTGTGTTTTAGATCGAAATCAATTTCCCAATATTTTGATTTGGCTCTGATATCAGAACAGTCCAGCTCGAATATAATCTACCCTTAATGTATTTTAAATCAGTCACACATAGTGTTACAGACTTTACTACCCACTGCGAAATATTAACATTAAAAATTTTTAGTCTTTAATAAAAATCCTAATTGCTATATGCCTGGTCAAACCCCATTTGAAAAAACGTTCTCCGGCACGGCGATTTTGGAGTTTCATAATTATATTGTCCACAAACTGAACCTCTAATCTAATACGCTTTCTTTTAAACAAACTGCAAATTCTATAGCTTGGAAAAATCTAAAAAATTGAATTTTATGTATGAATCGGACCTAAAAAACCGTATGGCTTTATTGGTTATAATCGCATTAGGTAATACATCACCCAAGTTTCAGCAACTGGAACATGGCTTGAGTTATGATCTATTTTGTTATGTGTTGCACTCTACGTCTTCAAAAATGTACCCTTCAAATTGCTACAACAAACGTGTGCTGCTGCCTTTCGCAAGCGTTACGGCGTGTTTATTCACCTGAATCTGAAGCATAGTTACATAGCCAATGGCAAAACCGAAGATCCCCACAACAACGACAAGTGACCACCAAACGAGTGAGTCGAGCTGCGAAAACTTCATAATCGCAGGAACTTCACCACTTAACACAATCAACGGAATGAACATGACCATAGCGTTGACATTATTGTAGTAAGACAATAGCGACACAGAGTCGTTGACAAGTTTCAGCACCTAAATGAACAACAGTTTTAGCACAGAGAACATGTTGAGTATTTCAGTTTTATTATTAAATCATCCAACATGTTGAGTATTTTAATTTTATTATTAAATCATCCTTATCACCATCCTTAATATCACCTTCACCATCCTTATTGTGACAGCAGTAGAAATTACTCTAGCCGAACCGAAAGCAATTCTTAAGAACGCTGCCTGTGATAACGAAAAAAACCCGAAACATTTGCATTTTTTTATAGTAGACTTAACAGTTACGATTAAAGAAATTTTGGCAAAATAGTTCCCAATCAGTAGCGCGAAGTATTCTGAGACTACAGTAAAATTACACGTATTAAGATTATGGAATCTATTTGTTATTTCGCGACTGAAAACTCTAACCGACCAAAGATATCTTTTACAATATTATTATGTTTCGAGATTTGCGTGCAGTACCGCCTTAGAAATTCAATTAGACAACCGGCCCCGGAACGAACTGTGTCTGCGTCCGGATTTTAACCGAGACTATCACGTATTCCCTTCAAGTTTGGCAAACAAGGACGTAACCCACTAAGTACACTGCAACTAACAAAAAAAATGTTTAAAACATTATTGGGTATCTAAATAGAGCGTGAGCCAATGTCTCTTAACAGTTTGAGAGTCTTTACTCTATATCTTTACAGTATATGTATATAGAGGCAGTGGCATAGTTTGCGAATTCTGCTAGTAATCATAGTTCAATGGATGGCTTATTTGAATGGAAATAATTTATGTTTAGCGTTCCACGTTCACCGATTTGGTGTTTCACGCCCCATATCGCAGAAATGAGTAATATTCTAAAAGCAAATTGTTAACGGCAACAACAGCGATGATCGAAACGGCTTTCACGATGTTTTTGGACTAATAGTGCGTTCAGTGGAAGTCCCAACAAATGCGTGTCACTGCCGTATAACAATAAAAAGGTTGACAACTTGCCCCTGCCCCCATTTCATTGCGTTTATTATAATACGAAAAGAAACGCTGTGAAAATATCGTTCATATTTGATGCTATCACCTCACCACGCTAAATAACATAGAACAATATAAAATTCCAAAGAAAACACAATAATGGTCACCTAAAATAAAAAGCGTCAGAGTAAAAGGTATGTGCTTGCTGCATAAATAGTCGCGAGGTTATAGTCAGTATTTTAGCGATTTGAGCATTAGTTGCCAGTTCGAAGTCTTCAAGTTTCGTGATCTTCAGAAATTTCCAAAACGTCTCACAGATCTCATAAAACCTTCAATATTAAATCATTTAGATATGATTCCTAATAACTAATAACATACGTTATTACGAAAAGCTTACTTTTTTTGTGTAGATAGAGTACAAGCTCAGTGAAGCCGACGCGATTAGTCCGTAAATGATGCCGATCAGACTCAGCGTACCAGATGATTCCTCCTGGTCAACGCCCAGCAAGAAACCACCTGCATAGCCGTACCAATGTTAAAGGTGCATAGATAAGACAAGACGCCCAGCTGCTAGATATTTCAAAACCTTCCTTGCGAAGTCTATTATTCCTGTGCGTTCCGATACGCACATGCATAAATTTCTTCTGTGACTGCATGTATGAATTTCCACTTTAGCACGTCAGTAAATGTAAAACATCAAAGAAATTCATATTGTAATTGTCGTCTATCGTAATTTTATTAAAATATCAACTTTCAAGCAAAATAGTTTCGCTTTGTATTACTCTTGCCAGCTTTTCAAAAATAAATTCCCCCTTACCAATGATGACACCACAGCAGACGAGAGCGTATAATGATGTTCTCTGTTTGAGAATGATGTAGGTGAATATAACGTTGAAGACTGTTGTTAGCGACCGGCTCACAGTGTAAAATGCCACTCCAACATATTTTAGGCAAAGATTATTAAATGTAATCATCATAACAAAGAAGACTGATACAGGAGAAAGTCGTACAAGTTTTACAGTATCCAAGGTACATGCTGGAAACCAGAAGAAACGCGGGAACGCCTACCAAAAATACAAAGTCGAGCAGATTTAAAATATGATGTATTTTAAGATCATGCTTTCGGGAGATAATTCCAGACCGAACTATCAAAGACGGCCATCCGGGATCGAGGATTTGGATCCCAGAGTATTGTCTATAGTAGAACTTCCCCGTTACGTGCATGTCAGAGAATAAAACTTTAGTGACTGACATCGTTTTGATTCTAATTTAATAGAGCTATAAATAATCAGGAAACAGATCTAATTTAAGTCAGTTTATAGATAATAAGACACAAGTAATCTGCACGTTAATTAGCTGGTAATTTAAATGATAAACCTACATGTGTAACGTTATTGCATTATGCTCAAAAAATTATATTGCTCGTATGCCCTCTTTCTTTTTATAAAAGCGTGTATCAATTGAAGATCCTACGTCTTATAATATTTTCATATTATCGGGTATTGCTCTGAGGTATAACTGAGTTTCATTTTTTTAGTAATCCTTTTAAAAAACTCTGAGCTGTCTAGAACCAAAAAAAATCTTTTTTTTTTTTTTTTGTATAAAATGCAATACAGCTTAAGTTCAAGAAAGAAATTTAAATTAAACCCATTTAGACTTGCGTTAGACTTTATTTTTATGATAAAACGATATACGAATAATGTGCTTTAAACAAACCTTGCTTAAGCAGCTAAACAATAAACAGATTCCAACGGTAATAACGCACTGTGTAAACGTGATAAATAGGGGCGCCTCAAGACGATCCTTTGATGACAACAAATGTGAATTGAGAAATACCATTGATATGGACACAACCCAGTAAGCGGCAATGACTCCGACAACCTTGGCATATTGCCAAGCTAGAGACCCGTCATATTCCGCCGTTATTGTAGACGGCGGCATTGTTACGAAATTGACCAGTTTCTGTGAAAATAACACATCGAGATTTGTCAACGGTAAATGTACATGTAAAGAGAGGGCGGGAATAAGAAGGAAAGCTACCAATGACAGCAAAGCCGAATCTTATTTACAACGTTGACTACCACAACAACCAAGTAGTCGACATAGTAAATACACGTATACTAGCAAAACATGCCTACTAAACTCCGAGTATCAGTATAACACGAAATCTCTATGCTATGGTAAAAAAAAAAAGTAATATTTGTTTAGCTTACCAAATCAAACAAACACTATGGTTGCCGCTTTGTCCTCTGAATTACACATTAGGGCTGGGTCCTCTCTCGCCCTTCAGAAACTGTGGTGAAATCACTCACTCCGTCTTCGATACGTCGATGAGACGTAACAGACGTTTTTTCTGTGTACGACTGGTCGCGATTTTTTTTTTTCAAGGAACAGCCGATTTTTTCATATACTGAGTATTTACTTCTGAGAGCGAATCTGGAGTGCATCTATGTGTATGCTTTCGGTTCCGTCTGAGCCGTTCTTCTTATGGTCTTTAAACACCACCTAGCCGCGTGTTTGTTTCTGGCGTGAACCTGTCGTCTGCACGAAGCCCTCCTCCACACAGTGTAACTCAATAGAAGTTTACCCAACGAGCCTATGTTAGTGCATTACGATGCAAAGGGCAACATTTTTAGCCTTATTTGACTTTTTCGTGTCCCCGATTAGTTACACTTATAAATAAAAGCTGAAATAATGCTTGATTTACCTGTTAAGTACAACTGTTTTTGGGAATGCTTTCAGAGCTGCGGATCACCGAAAGATTAAAGCTAAATTCCAATACCCAAAGCCCCAATCATTTCGACTGCTTTCGTCTTCAACAAACGTTTTTCAAAGATACACTGTGTATACGAAATCAGCCATGATAGACCAAAACCAAAATTTAAAATACCCATTCGCTGTGGCTCTTTCGTTTGACGGAGGTTGAAAATTGCGCGTGCGTCCCAGCTGATTTTCTACCCGCAGGCTTGTTGCTTCGTGCAATCACAAAAAAAGAATAACAGAGAGGCAAGGGAAACTGAGGGTAGCTGCGAATAATACGCAAGAGGCATCATGTATTGTTGATATATACCGACTTGCAAAGCAGCTGTCCTCGTAAGAGCTTATCACCGCACGTGGAAAGGGTCCTTTGTTATGCCAGGACACGAACTGAGCTGGTCTGCTGAGAGACGTGTAGTTGCTCTTGCGTATTTGTCTGTCGAGTTCTACCTTCTGTCGCGGTCTTCTTTGCATAGCCCGATAAACAGGAGGCAGCTTACCACATATATGTGACTAACATTGGTATATTAGTCAACCTATGATGCGCCAGCCGCGAACGCATGCGTTTGATCAACTTCTCCTTCTCTTGTATACATCATTGTTAATACTAGTGATATTGTCGCTAATACTGTTGCAATGATTGTGCGACCGAGGCGCTATAGCGTCGTCTGCAGTGGCATTCTCTGATACTGTGAGTGATGGGGGTTGCTGCCTGCGGACCGACGTTTTCGTAGATGCATTACAACCTGTATCTCTCACGTCGACACAGTTACCGGTGGCCTCAAATAGTGGGTTTACTGTGCTCGCTTATTTCAGCTTGTTCGTGCCTCTCCCAAATCCAACAGATAGCAGCAGAAGAGAATCCTTACATCAAAGTGGCAGTTATGGATCAGTTAACATTTCGACCCTGGGAATTTTTAACGATCCGACGGAGTGAAAGTTCCAACTGTCCTGTGAAAGGATAATTTAAATAAGTAAATAAGAGAGTGCGGGGCTGGAGGAATTGGCAATTCAGCGAAAAGGACATGATCGGAGATCACCAGCTGTCGGAGGCGATATTCTGCGTACTGTTAATGTCGTCGTTAATTCGACGCGGAGCAGTAGCTTCTTTGTGTTTTGAAACAAACTGGAGACTCTGCATGTGGCCATATCCACATTTCAAACTGCTAATTGCCAGTTTAATGTCGAGGCTATCAGCTAAACACAGTTCGGTGTGCCTTTGTGAATTGATGATTTAGCGGTCTACTTTAAAGCCTAGCGATGGCTTATGACTAATTACAACATATCTGAGAACTTGACAGTTCTCTTCCACATTAGCGTACGCCTCGCGTATGAATAACTTGGAGCCTGATCCATTCTTTGAGTGGCCCGGATATTGTGTGTCTCCTCTTGACAGCACCTGTAGCGTCTAGCCAAGTTACTGCCTTTCTAACTGCTCAAAGTAGACGAGCTCTACCGAACGGGTGATCGTTCTCTTGGCAAGCATACGTTCTTCCTAACACAACCGCCTCCTGATCCGCTCGACAAGTAAACGGTGTGGTTTCTCTGAGGAGAACAGCATTGATGTACTTGCTATAAGTTGTTCTAAGACGCTAGTAACGGTATTTGGTATTGCGCGCTACGTGACCAGTGCGTATTACACAACTGTATCTCTATGTAGAACGAGAAAAAGATCTAATATCTCCTTTTTTCTGCTTAGACCTTTGTAAATCAACAGTGTCTGGACTACGGTGTCAAAGTGAAACACGAGGCGAATACACAATATTCAAGCGTCAGAGATATAACAAACGATCGGGGACATTTCATATCCTTAGTGAAAACGGTCATGTAACGGTTTCGGAACGCTTGCAATGGGTAAACCTTATTTGAGTCCCGAATCTAGATGATTATAAGATAGGCTTGGAGAACGCAATGAGTGCCAGGGAGCAATCCACTGTGGATTAGTGTTAGTTTACACTGAGGACTGATTGTGTAGTTATCGCAGTGAGTCAAAGTATCGTGAATTTTTGTGACAGTCGTCTGTGGTGATCTGCAGGCAGGATTCGACGCGCTCATCAATTGCGATTGCAGGGTAAGGGACGCAGTGCTGGAACTGCTGGGAAAAATATTGGATGACAAGCTAAAAATAATGCGTCGACTGTGGGTTAGATGGTAGAAGCCGACAGTGAAGGTGCTGCTGGCGATGCTTGAAGGATAATGGGTCATCAATCTTATAGGGATGATGTGTGCTTGGTCAACGGTAAGGTCCGTTTACGGTTTCGACTTACGTCGAAACTTGTTGTGGGTCGAAGGCCAACCTGCCTCAAGTTCTTCTATTAGACAACAGTCAATATCCAGTGTATCCTAATGAGTTGGAAATCGAGATTACGCATCAGGCCTGACTCAAGGCCGAAAACCGAGGCCGTTCTAGTTGAATCGTTGTTATCTAAGGTCGGTCCAGTCAACTCAGACTACAAAAACGACGGGGATCGATCGAGTTGGTTGAAGCTTGAATCGATCCAGGGGGAAGAGCTAATTTATCATTTGCAGTATTTTTCATTGCTCCGAATTACCTAACCCGATTAGTTTCAGATCAATCGATGTTAGATGAGTGAGTTCTTTGTAAGAAGCGTTGGACGCTAGAACGGTCGTTGATTTCTGAGAAGGACTTTTTATCGAGTCCTTTTGGCTCTGTGTATTCTCGTCATTTTGAATTGTATTGTGCTCTTAGACACTTTGAAAATAAAGGATATCTTGTTAATTTTTTCGATTGATGTTTTACATTTGCCAACGTTGACCAGTCACTTAATTGCTAAAACATACTACATGCTATGTAGCGCAAAACGGACATATTGTAGAATTTACTTACTACATATATTCAGCATCTCTTGTATGCAACACATCTGTAAGTAAAAAATGATCATTCTCATCGTAAACTCTATAAATATATATATATGGAAAGAACTTCATCAATGTTTACCTATGGTATCCTATTAGTCACACGCAAATACCTTACGACCTACATTCTGTTGAACCCTGTTCCCATCGACTGAATAGCCAGACTTCACATCAGACAGCCAGTAGCGGCTCGCATCCTTCTTAGTGAAAAAAAAACACAAGCATCACTTGATGGCGTGAACAGAACGTTGTCTGCATTGTTGATTACGTACTCAAATTGCGCGAATACCGAAAGCGCGCTGAAGTAGTTCTAGTCTCTCCCTCACTCTTAAATAAAGTCTGTATGAATAGACTCTATGTAATGAACGTTTATTGTCAATGGGATATTGACAAAATAACATATTTTGCTCAATAGTCAAGCAGACTCGATTGTTTCTCTTGCCGCAACTGTTGGAGCAGAGAGCTGTCGAAGAACTACGTTAGCGTAATTACGTTGGTGCGATAGGAGTAGCAAACGAATTAACTTCGCATTACCCAATTGATTAAGTTTACAGATGGGAACAAAAGCTGCCTTTAACGGTAAATCTTCGTAGAAGCAAAGGAGGCACTTCTAAATATATTGCGCATAATAATATACAAATACAATACGTCGTTGGGTTGAAATGATTTCCGTAAGGACACCTTTTTATATTTTATAACTCCTCCTTGCAGTGCTACCTGTCGATTGCACGTTCCTTAGACTGGTGGGTATCTACTGTATTAACGAAATCATACCCCTACGGAAGTACTCAATGTTTACCATTCATTGCCAGGCCTTCCCTGTCTCTGATTCAAAACTGTCCCGCATTTTCTTTGGTAGGAAACCCTGCAGAAAGATGAACGGTTTAATTACGGACTATGCAATCTTCTAATTATAATTTAGACGATCTCGTAAATCGTAAAAAATAAAACCTCGGATAATTTGTCAACGGTGTTTCCTATAGCAAGTTGCCAAAGGTGGATTTTCCTCCTTCCCTATGTTGTACAGAAATCAAGTCCCACGGCTTTAGATTGTTATCGCGGTGGTGTCGTAGTCGATAGTTAAGTGAACTGGACCGTGGAAACGGCTTCATAGAGACAATGTGGTATTAGCCTGAACGAGCCGTCCATGGATTTTAAGGAGTACACGTAAATAGGCGAAATTTGCCAGTTAAAATCGTGGTTAAGCTCTGTCTGATAGCGAACAACCCCTGGCAAAACAGCATCCGTTAGGTTACATTCATGTAATCCTGCTTATTTCGTAACGAATGAAGATAACTAATTGACAGGTGACGAAGTTCGCTATTTAGACAATCGTCGTTTCGTGGTAATGATGTATAGCAAAGTGTAGATGACACTTGCCAGATAAGAATTTTTGTGGCAAGCTAATATTATTTTTTATTAACACGGAAATAGATACACAATTTGTATACAATATTTTCGTTTGATCGAATAAGTACAAAGCTTATTGCTAGACATTATGGTTGATGTTTACAAATCATCAATGCTCAAAGTTTTTAGGTAATATTACGATTTTACTCAAACCAGCAAGTGTTATTTTGAGCATATTCGTGTATATTGTAATAGAAACAACTATATTTTCTATACTCACGGTCCACTTTTTGTTCGAACTGTTTTCTCTATGGAATACTATCTTGTTTATATTGTTTGGGCAATTGTTTATCGTGTTAAGTACGACTGCATCGTGCCACTGTGCTCTTTTTGGCCTCTGCAAAAGCCATTAGTCGCTTGCAACTAAGGCCACGTTAATGAGGTATACGCTGCTATTGCAAGCACTAATTGTTTTGACATGATTGTCGTGCTACACGGAACGACTTTTGTAGAATCCTGGGATGCATGATGTTAGCAGAAGATTCGTTCCATCCATTAGAGTAGCCATTGAAATGTATAATTGTCACATGGCTAACGTATTGTCATAACGATATAGCACAAGAATACGGCAGGGCCGGATAACATAGACACATTGAAATTATCTGTTTACAAGGACTTTTTTTTTACAGAAAGTTATAAACTTCTAAGGCTATGCAGATCAGACGTCGACAACTGTCAATAATATATTACTTCAGACCTCATGAAACCTTTTTTATAGATATTTGACAATATTTCTAATCAGCAAGATGTGAATTTTCAATGACTTGCAGCGATAGGATATGAGATCAAATTCTAAAATAGGAGTAAATAGACCTGAAAATTAGGTAGAATACCTTCGGCTGTCGTCAAATTATTCACTAGGCTCGATAAAGTAATCTTTGGCCAAATACTATACAATATTTTGTTTCATCTAGGATAATTAAGTTACTTATCTGTAAACTTCATATTAAGAAGCGCTCATACTTAATATCATCTGACTAATATGCATTGTATCCGAACAGCGAGAAAAAGAATGCAGACATACGATTTGCACCCGATCTTGCGATGTTCTATAGTATTCCTTAGGTTTGCCATCGGGTATTCACATTTATTTCATCGAAAAATTATCCGATTTGTTCTTAGTTTGAAACCTGTTTTGAGGTATGTACAATAGTGAAGTTGTGCTGTTTCAAGGCGTGTCCAGCAGCCAAAAATAGCACGCGATGAAGTTTGCAACTTCAGTTCACGCGATTGCAGGTATTGCAAGCCGAGGTCCAAATGCAGACCGTAACTATTCGGAATAGGACATAACGTGGAGATAGCAAAACCTTTTTGGTTGATTCGCTGCAAATAATCACTTTGGTGTTATTTTTCTCGCTATCGGTTGACGGTACTTGTGCAGAAATCCTACACGGGCATCGTTGTAATGCTTTGAGCGATTTTTTATTTGCTCATCGTCTGTGTCATCATTCATCGTGCTCTGAAGGCGAAGATTCATGGAGCTTAGCTGATGATGGACTCCTAATTTTTCTCAATTAGACTATATGGTGTCTAGGTAATAAAATTGTTACTAAAATTATGATTAGACTATGTTCGCCTACCGTTAATCCCTGTAGGTGGTCCTTTTGCCCTCTCTTAGCGTATTACCTCATACGACTGTAGATAGTACGAGCACGCTGACAGGGCATTGAGAGATGGTTTGCACCAACGTGTTTACAGTAATACAAGTACGCTTGCAGTAGATATAATAGTAAGTGTTGGATATCGTGCAGTAGTGCCGAGTGTTAGACACTCACCCTAAACTCCGACTGCCATCCATGGGATTTGAGCGATTGAAAAGCGCGGATCTTGTCACTGGATGTCTATCGCAGTGGGGCGCGCTCTGGTTTCCATGGGACTCTATTTGGTGTTTTGTAGAACCAAATTTTTAGAGATTAACGACGGGGTTTCCAGTTGAGAAAATATTTCACTGAAATCTTATCGAAAACGTGCTAATTGCCTGAAATCATTTAATACAACGGTTTTGGCTATGGGGCACAGCTAAAGTTCCCAATCAGTATATCACCGTAGGCGCGTCTAACGCTTGAATAATCATTACGCTCTTTATTCCTTATGTGATGCCTATCACAGTATGACTCCACTTTTCATGACAATATGAAGTAGTTACTTTGAATTTACTGCATGAACTAGTAGTTCGCAAATGCTCATAAACCAGTGTCTAGTATGTTTCATCGCTGGCTAAAGCTGTAACCCAACCAGTGAATCATTTTCAGCGGAAATAATCATACAGGAAGTCGGCGGATAATAGGCCTCTTTTTTTTGTTAAGAAGGATGAAATGCGTGAAGATGGTACGACTTGCTCGGAAGCCCACGATTTGTTCTATTGTTTCAGTAGGTTTTCAGCTAGATTAGAAGTCACAAATTGATATGTTACTGTACCTCAAGTGCAAGCAAATTCACGAACATGTCTATTCTATAAACGACTGAATGCCACGATATCCTTCGGGGTGTCTTCGTGATGAATTCTTTCTGTCTAGACAGCGTACATAGCATTCAATTTAGGTTGTAAATTGAAGGCAAAAAGTAAAATTAGTTTTGTAGTGCTGACACCGGAACGAATTGAGCTTCCCACTAGCACTCGTTAGATCAACTTTGTTCCGGCATCGTTTCATGTTCTAGTCAAAATAGCTATTTATAACATTTTACGTGTGTTCGATTTTATGTATTTGCATTGATACAAATCGTAACACATCTCCCCTCTTTGAACATTATGGGGTCTACTGTAGGATTATCGGTACGAGTCACTGCAGTACTTTTGTATTACTATGTACTATTTGTTGTATGTAGCATTATGGAATGATCCGATTGCTGTTTTTAACCTAGAACTTTGGCTCTCTAAGCCATATATCAGACTGGCCATATATCCCCCTGGAATCCGTCGAAGCTCAATTCATTAACTGGATAATGTTGACAGGAATGACTTTTTGATAATACCACACGATCCTTGTTGTATAGGTCAAACCTGAAATACTTAGCTGTCCTATCGGGTTGCTGGAGCTGGAACTAGTCATTTCGTGTGAACTGCAAAAGCAACCTATCGTTGTATAGGTAGATTATAGTTTAACTTCACTACGCCTGTCGCCAGGACGAATTTCATCCGATTCAAAGTCACATACCAAACAATCCAATAAGGTGTATCTTGCAGTTTTTGCGTTCAGTTTCTGTGCAAGTTTTTTCTACTAAGCTCGTCTTTTCATTTTTGAAAGTGCGTTGGAATAAGCACATCTGCCTCTCCAGCATCATTGTTAATGGTACTCTATTAGCGGATCAGTGCTCGGATGCTGGCAGGTATCATGACAGGCAACGCTCCAATGTTGGCTCTTTCTAACTCGTTCTGCCGTAGCCATGACCACTGATACGGGGGCCGATTCAAGTTTCCTATGACGCAGCTATGCAGGGTGTAAGCTGCCACGAGTTTCGACAGATCCTACCAAATCGGTCCGTCGTCTGACTCTAACTTTGCTAGCAAACTAGCTCTGTCGGAACATTAAAAGCCATACGACGGTAACAATCTGATATCCTAACAGGCAAGGCCCAACTGGTTAGGAGATGTAAGGCTGTATCAGAATGGAGCCAAACGTAGAGTGCTTAGACATTAATTAGGGGTCGATCGGCATATGGATCACGTTCATCATCATCATCACGGGTCAGTGCATGAGTTAGTCACTATGTAATATGGCCCTAATGTAGATGTTTTGCCAGAAGGAAGCAGAGGATGTGCCTGGCTGCAACCAACATAAACACCTATTGCGATTGCACTGATCTGTGATTTACTATTGGCCTCGCGGTTTTATTTCATAGTATCTTTTGAATAGAAGCTACTCTCTTTAACCTGAAATGCGAAAACAGCAAAGACCACTACTGTTCTCGTGTGGAACTGTCTAGTTCGTTTTGCTGAGGAGCAACTACGAAATATTAATACGACAATTTTCCGGCTGTCTCTATTCCGTATAATTGGCTCTTTATCCTCTATAGATATACAAATGACGATCAACCATTTTGCTGTTTCCGTAATAAGTCGCTATTATCGCGGAATACTACGTTATCGATAGACAACCAGAACTCAGGTGCGTTATCATATCTGAAGTATTTCATAGGCTTCAATTAGTTCAAAGCGTGACTAGGTTGAATGCGATACACTAACCCATTTGATTAGCCGTAGCGTATTTTTATACAATTATGTTTTGTATTGAATAGTTGTTAAATAAAGATCTATTCTGATAAGCATTTTGCTAACGTACTTTGGTTTTCTCTGATATGTTAGTTCGAGGCTCTTGATAATGCCTCTGCTGGTTAAGTTTTTCTAACGAGTATTCTACTTCGAGCGATTCATGAGACTTCTTTGTTTGCGGTCTTTTTCAATCGTCATATTCGGGATAACCGTAAACGGCACTCGCCTCGTCCATTTCGCTTTCAGTAAACCTTTTTTTAAATGTTTTGTCAGCAACACCTTAATAGAGAGCATTTGATGGGATTCCCTCTTGGACGGCAAAATCAATGTGGTACCGTCCTTGTTATCTCTAGTATGCGTATGTCAGGAATTGGTTCATTTAATTGTTTACATAGTTAAAAAAAAAAGTGCTTTCGTCCAGTTGCGAAAGAAAGCTTTTAAATCAAAGTACATTATGTGGATACATATAATAATAGCTTATACATATAATATATCACTTGACCCATATTTTCTGCGAGAATTCGCCCAATCTCTATAGCTAAAAATAGTAATTTCTTTTAATATCGTGAGAAATTTGCAGCTCTACGAGTATTCGCGGTAGCAGAAATTGATGAACTGTAAGTTTTGAAAACAGATATTGACACGAGGCAAGGTCTTTTTTTGACCTAGTCAGGGGATAATCCGATTACGATGAACGAGCACGAACGTGAACGGAGGTCCATACAGGTCAGCCTTCTTGAAGCTCTCAAAGAGGTGAGCGTACGATATTAAGATTTCGTTTACCAACGTAAGCTGCTCTACCACAAATAAATCCTTCGGTGATCCCGCAGAGGTTATTGTTTTCTTTCGAAATATGGAGATACTTTTTATATGTTGGTTTGCCTAGGCTAATATTGATTTCATCCAGCTCGATGCGAGCATGGTCAACTGATGTTACTTCCTGTTCCGGCAATTAGGCTGTCGCAAACTTTTTGTACTTATACTTAGTCAATATTTTCTATAGCTGACACTAATAGGTGTTCTAACTTCTGACCATCAGCGCGGTAACATTCTAGCTATTTGATAAGCAGCATATTGTAGCTGATCGAATTTCCGCTTGAATAAAAACGACTAGAATTTCATGTGCTCGTAAAGCTCTATGCCTTTAAGTGCTGCAAGCAAATAGAAAATAGTTGGACTAGTTGATGTAATTTACAAATATCTCGACAGTGTCAGATACGGTTCGGATCGGGTCAGGAGTTGGCAACGGAACAAGACGCTCGGGTAGCAGCTCTATGTACCTCAGTCGAGCGCGCTTTCAGACATGGTATACGACCACAACATCAACATAATGCTTTACAGCCGTCTCTTGCGAATATGGTAGGCGCAAAGTTTTTTTGTGTTTCGTTACATTTTACGATCGATCGATAATAATAATAATAATAAGTGCATCGATAATAATCTTAAACGAGGTTCTCCTCCTATGAGATCGAATACGATGCAATGTGAAAAAAGCAAAGCAGTAAATTCTGCTGTGGATTAATGTTAAGGCAGTGTACTTTAAATGAGAAGTATTAGCGCTCACTCAGTCTAGCCACACAATGAATGTATTACTCCTAAAGAAAAAAAAACTGACTAAAATTTACCATAAGGACATCAATTAGTGTTCTGTTTACATACAATTAGCTCAGTGTAATTGGTATTGTATTTTCCGCTTTCAGGTGCGTGGTCTGCTAACTCAAAATGATGTCCGAGGCTCGAGTGATCTCTTTGCATTTATATGGAACTTCCTTAGTAAACATGAACTCGAAAGGTACGCCATATCTGCCTAAAATAGAGCTGTAGGTTTTAATGTAGAATTTCTAAACTTCTGATCGAATTCACACTCAAGTTTCACTGGCCTAACGTTCTATTCTGTTATATAACTAAATTTAAATAAAAATAAACATGTAAGGTTTCGACGACTCGTATATATGATTTCATATTAGATAAACAATGTTATTAATATATGGTGATTTAACCAGATTATGTATATCTCAAAATAGTCTCGCTTAACACAAAGCGCAGAATAAGAGTTCAAGGCACACACTTTAGTCTTGTTTTTTTTATTTTGTAATCTTTATGACCCAGCATTTGTGTGACTGGACGGAGACCTATTTGCGTATTTTCAAGAAATCTTCGTATAGTTTTGTAGAATCTAGACATTCTGTTGCACTGCAACGAATTCATTTTTATAGACACTTTAACTATACCCGTTACTTTTTACGGCAAAATTTATTTTCAAATTGCCACGAGACCTTATCGTTTTCACTGAATATATTTCTATTATCTATTTCATTGCTATGTTGCAATTTTATATTTGAAAAATTATAGTGGACGAGAATAGTAGACGGGTACCGAAGTAGATTCGATCGAAAAATCGATCGAAGTCGGGCGTGCGAAGCGGGCTTAGCTTTGCCACGAGCTTAAACGATGCGTGTTACCAACTGATGTTGTTCTCGATATCTTTGGGCGCGGGCGGGATTGCTTTTGTTTGTTTGCCATGACCCCGTGTAGGTTCCAGCTGTTGAAAAACGTAAGAACCGATGCTGGCAGAGCTCGGGCGTGGATTCGATGCGCTTTAAATGAGCACTCCCTAGAGAAGTATTGCAAGAAGTTGTTCGGTTCTCAGGAAAGAGCTCGCTTAGAAAAGTTCTACGAGAGCTGGGCCTTTCTACGGTAAGTGAAAGATTGGTGTTGTTGAACTCTTTTTTTATGTCGCTCTGAACCGAGGGGCCAATTTGTTTTGTGTTGTAGCCAATGATCTGATCTATGAATAATAAATGAAAAACACCAGCCTGGCTCACGGGCCTCCAGCGACTATGCACCGGATGATCTTTGCATATGTAGCCCAATGTCCTAGCGTGTATCTATCTCAGTTTTGTTGGCCACACTCAATGTACGTAAACATTGTACCCATTGTACCTATAGAAAATTTGTGGGTAGCCGCAAGCACCTGTTTCTACTTGCGTATTTAATGAAGTGGCGTTGTTGTTTGAAATCGGCCCCGTTTTGTCCGTCGCAGGGATGAGGAATTGTGCGCAGTCTTTGAAACGATGTCACAGGGCATGAAAAGTATTTTGTTTGCACTAAACGTCGATAGTTCCCGACTCGATCCGGAGGAACCCGTCAGCCCCGCTGCAGAAGTCGGCTCAGCTTTTGAAGATGGTATTTGTATTTTGCTATAGTAAACATCTAGACAAATAGTCTTCATGGAAGGCAAGATGCTAGATAAAACACATCGTTGTCTGTCAGTTCATTGCTGTATTTATGCTGTCTTATACAGTGTGCACGAGCACGAGATTCGCTCTCTCTATCCGTCTGATAAGAATGTTAAACATGGATTGACGCAAGCCATTGCGAATGACCCTTGCAGGCTTTGAGGCGCCTGCGCCGGTCATGGCGCCGGACGCTCGTGAAGGTCATATTAAGAAAAAAAAAAAGCGGTCCACTCATTATAACCCAACGACAAGCCTTGAGCCTGCCGGTGGAAGTCCCTCAGAGATTAAAAGCAGCCCACCGTCGAGTGTAGCCAGTCCCATAGCGGAGAACCTCAGTGGTATTGAGGACAGCTATTTTCAGGTATGTTGAAGCATCGCATAGTTCTCAACGCTTCCCTTGCGAGTGAACCGTGGCCTCTGGATATACGATACGGTTTTCACATCTTTGTAATTCGTCGGCTTTGCATGAGATTCTAACGTAACTAAGTAGATATGCTTATTAATATATTAAGCGAAACGAATATCAAATAAATGAAAATACTACCTTTGAAATATGTTTGCATGCTGTGCAACTTCCTTGTAGGCTTTGGGAAAGTCTCCTCAGTTAAAGACGGGTTTGACGCCCATCACCGATTCGGTTGGTCTTTCGTATGGTGACCTAATACCGGTAAAAAGCGAGGATACCATTGGAGAGGATACACTGAGTACAACGAGCGGACGGAGCGAAAGAGCCTGCGCGTACTCCAGCAAGAGCACGTCACTGTCGGAAGGTAATTAAAAGGACTATTTTATATCGCGAGTATTGAATTATAGTAGTTAACTAACCAAATGTATAGAATGAAAATATACAGACTGAACAAAAATGAGTACGTATTATTATATAAAAAAATATCTCGATCATATGTCAAAAATACACACAAGTCTCTTTCGAGCCTCAGCATAAGCTTAGACTGACAGATGTCAAATAACTGACTGATAATAAATTAGACTGACAGATGTCACAGCAACGAGCACGAAGCGCGATGTTGCAAAATTGTTATAAAAAGTGTGTACAAAAAGAAAAAGGAATCATGTTATACGTTCTTAATTACACGTAAGTAACGCACGCATAAATTACACGTATAGTAAGTGTATCATATAGTATTTTATGACCGCTACAGGTGAGCTTCGTGAGGCGCTCGAAGCGATGGTCGAGCGTCGAAAACAGCTCGAGTGTGACTTGGAGTCTTATCGTGAGCGGCTGGCTAGTGAACGAGAGCGCACTCGAAGAGCTGAAGAGAAATTGCTGAAGGCCGAAACTCGACAGGGCCAGATGCTACGCGAGATGGAACAGGTATATACAAACTAAGTGTGCCCTTCTGTCTAAGTACTAGTTGGGTTCGTAATGTAAAAGCCGTATTGTGGAAAATCTTGCTCGACTTATGGGCAGAAAATTCAAACCGGAACTACTAGGCCGCCATACATATACAATTGTATTCTTTTGGATGACGATGAACGCAGGTAAAAGGCCAACTGCGGAAATACGTCCATGCTGTGCAGATGCTTAAAGCTAACGGAAAGGACAACCGAACCGCCAGTGGTGAGAACGATGATTAGTAGTCGATTGAAGGTTTTTCCATTTATATACTGTTCGCTAGTAAGCACAATCGAGTTATGGTGAATTTATAGCTTAGAGTTAGTCGATTTTCAAGCCTATCAATAAAGCGTTTCCGCCAATTTGCAGAGCTCTCGTTCTAACACCGCTCATTGTCCAGTGTTGATGTTGTTTAGGACTGCCTTCTTCCAATTTTCTGCTATTAATCGAATAGCAACCATAAATGTCTCTAAGGGCTCACTCGATGGTATAACTCGATGCTGACACGTATACTCGTACTGACGTAAATAAATCATTCTAAAAGTATCGTTGGTTGTGACACTGACGCATTTAAAAGATGATTTGAAGATTGCTACAATTACTAATTCTATTAATTTGATGGTGGGATATTGATATCTTTGACGCTGATGCAACTATTCCCTTCTCTCGTTATCATTCTCGCTTCTTTGCTCGTTTTTGACCATGGCAAGCTATAAATTTTCAAAGCTGTTTTAGAATCATTGGACCGGTGCTAAAATAAGAGATGTTAGTTTGATGGATTTAGGTTCAATCGTGCCTCAACCATTAGGTTAACAATTGTTTCCTATTTATGCAACGGTAGACAAAAGGTTTACGAACAATGAAGCGGTAACAGCTGGTGTTATATTGCAAGTATATAGTTGAGCTTCGTTATAGGAACGGTTGATTAAGCACAATACGAAGTAAACCTTGCTTTTATTTTCGAAACATGATTTATCACGAAAAACATTTTCTTAACTTGGCGCAAGGCTTAAGGAGATACGAGGCAATTTTTCACCATTAATAATGCGGTTACTTTATAATAAATGAGAAAATAAATGACCACTATGATAGTTTTTCAATAAATGATGCTCAATAATCGGCTAGGAGGTCTGGGTCATTTTAGTTGGAACTTTTTTTTTTTATAGAGTTGCACTCGCTTGAGATTACGGCAAGCACTAACGAAGAGGGCCTTCTCAACATCGGCACTACATCGACCAATAGTCTTGGTTACGCCGTCGACGACCCTACAAACTATGAAGCGAAGCTGGTACAAGTATGTTACATGTATAACATAGTGTAAGTTAGATTAGGTAAGTTGTTTTATAGCTTAGTACGGTGTTCTATGGGCTGCCATAGAACTTAACATTTCAGTTTTTCAAAGATGTTCTACTTGAGGAATCGTTTTCAAGTGAATTCATTGCTCTAGCACTGATCCCTAGGGCTTATTAGAGTTAGATCAATTACGGCAGTTACGTGATCTACAATTGTTATCTTTACGTATCGATTCCTAAATAGTTTCTAAAGACATTTTCACAGTTGTGCGTTAGAACGAAATTTCGTGTTGACGTTACTGGAAAAAGGACTAGTGACGCCTTTATCGTAAGTGCCTATAATATGCTTCGCGCATCGTACCCCGTCAAGTGTGTGCACATCCGAGAAGGTGGAAGGACGACTCTATTGATTAACGATTCTTAAGCGACTCTTAGCTATTTCACTATATGCGATCGCCTGTATGAGATTGCTGCGTGTCCGTACTCGCATCGATACCACTAAATCCGGGACAATTTGCTATAAAATCATAATGTAGTTTAATGGCTGCAATATTAAAGCCTCGTGAAAGGATCTCATATGAAGCATCGTAACGTGTCGAGCCGTTGTTCCTCTTACCAGAAGGCAATATGTGTTTTTCTCAGCTTTTCGTTTCGATGATAACAGTACCTTTTTCGCAATGTCGGTTCGGTCTAATTACTCAAAATAAAAAAAAAATTAAAAAAAAAAAAAAAAAAGCTTAACTAGAGGTACGACGCAGGAATCATCTGATCACACTATCGATGCTTTTTGCTTTCATTACAGGTGGCAGAAATGCACGCAGAACTCATGGAGTTCAATGAGCGGTTGCAGAGACAACTGGCACTTAAGGAATCAGCAATTCGACGACTTCGGGACGAACTCACTGATTTACGGTAAATATAACAGGCTGAGTTTACAATGAATGGGTAGCTTACATAGTGTGTGACCACGTGTTGTGTAAGCGCCTCTTAAGAACTAAGACTCGTGCTTCAGTTCACATTAGAGGGTGTTTGTTACATGACATTAAATGACGGATTTAACTCCTTTTTTATTGGGGTCGTCACGTTAGCTTACGTTAAATCGCCATATTTTCACTTGCATTAGGGCTACCTACCTCCCTCCCTTTCTCTCTCTGACTCTACTCATGTGCTAACGCTATAGTGCTTTGTAACGTACTAGTTAAGTTAATGATCTAAAGTGATGTATATGCTGTTGTTACGCAGTGGGCCCCTCGCGGAAGAGGACAGTTCCTCGGATTCACACTCAGTGACATCTGATTATGATACCGTTTCACAATTTAGACCATCAATCAATATCTGGATTCCGTCAGTATTCCTCGCTGGGCAAGGATCGGACGCGTTCCACGTTTATCAGGTCTGCTCAATGCGGCATATCAATTTACATCATTGATCAGAGAACACCTATCATACCGATATACCCATCTAAAAAATTGGATTTTATTTTAAAATAGCATCGAAAAATTTAGAACAATTTGCTGCACATTTTAAAATGCACAGTTAAGATAACACAATTTCCTTCAGTTACAGCGACACCTAACATAATCTTCTTCAACAGTAATACCATTGTTATCTTAGTACGCAATACTCAAGGATGCAATCTTTTAATCAATCTCATTCATGTTTTTCGTTTCTGTGCAGATATATATTCGTATAGGCGAAGAAGAATGGAACGTCTATCGACGATATTCTCAATTCTATTCGATGCACAAAGCACTATTACGAGGTCAGAGCGTTTTCGCTTCTTTTGATTTCCCGCCAAAGAAAAGCTTGGGCAACAAAGACGCGAAGCTCGTACAGGAGAGACGCAAACGCTTACAGAGGTAAATACGGATAGAATAAATTCATTAGTCATTCGTATTGATTTCGCACGGTAATCCATGTAGCGGTGAGCGTAACGTACGCTATTACAGGACATAAGCTTCGTCTAGTGTTTATCAGCCGATTATTATGGGTTTGAATCTTTTCTAGCCAGTCATCTTCACTGAATCTCCCCCTGCCATTGTCCGTACGACAAATAGTATTAGATAATAAATTGTTACTTTCATCGAGAATATTCTAATAGCCGTCATCGCAAAATCAATCCAGCTACTAACGATGAGCGGACATCGTATCGGTAATCTTAGATGACGGTGTATGTATTCTATATCACACTAAATACATTGCCAAGCCCACGTTTCGCCAGGTCGATTTTCTGCATGCATTTAATCCAGTTATTGTATGCATTTCTATTTTTTCCGCATCTGTAGATATCTTCGTTGCGTTATCAACTGGCTTCTTCAGGGCAATTCTCGCCTTTCGCAGAATCCTGACAAGGCGACGTTGACTGAAGCGATGCCGTTCTTCGGTGATCGCGATCAAGCCCACTTTCCACGGCGGAGGCAATCCCCCATTCGAAGAGCCCAGGAAGCTCAAGCCTACTACAACGGATTATAATCGATTCTGTAGTGGAAGTTCAATTGTTGCCTTGCGGCAGTCGCGCAACGACTGCCCGTACAAAACGGCCCGTCTATTTCCCCCCGCCAAAATTCTGACAAAGACAGCGAGAAGACAAAAACCGAGTTGTTGTTACGGCAGACTCTCCAGTCAGCTATTTGACCTGCACTAACACACTATGACGTATTTTACCGTTCGCAATCCTATATATATATATATAATGAGCGTTTATTTGCTAGGTTTTTTACATACCCTATACTATGTTTGTACAGTTCCTTATCTCATTTCCTTATTAATCGTAATTAACAGTACATACAAAAAGTTCCCGTCAAAGCGTAAAATCATGAAATGATCGCCTTAATAATACACACTCAAAAACATCGACTGTGAAAAAGCGTCATTATGTATAGCTGAAGAATACGTTAGACTGAAATGCCGGGTATATATTGTTGTTGTTGTTGCTGCTGCTGCTGCTGCTGCTGTTGTTGTTATTGTTGTCGTCGTCGTCGTCGTCGAACGGAGTACGAAATACAAATTTCAATGGGAAATTTGCTCGGAATCACGCTTTCTTCACTTTAGTCATCGTATTTATTGAAACTTTTTGTACACTCTAAAAAAGCTTTAGATCCTATAAAGTATCGTAGATGTCCTTGTGAATGAGAATGCGACTGCTGTATGAGGGTCCGTTATCTTTACTGGAACACAGTTTCACAGTTAACACACACACACACACACACACACTGTATTTATCAGCAGATTTTTAGAATTCGATTACGCAAATGATGGACGTTTCTATGCACAGAGCTTCGCCCACCTTTATTCGTTATCATATTTTTACGCATAGTAAATAAAGGCTAATTAAGTGTGTATTTCTGTGAACATATATGTATTGATGTTGTAGAAGCGTTGCGTACAAATAGGTCTATATGAACCTTATTGTTACAGTCGACGTCGATATATGATCATTCAGGCGACGATTCCTATGTTAAATGAACGTGGATTCGTCTATATGATGCCAAAGCTATGCTGTTGTTATACGCGATGGCCTTCACCTGCTGATGGCTGCCATCAAGCGAGGAGCACTACTGCTTCGTATTCAGAGAACAGATGAGGGTAGGGTTCAGTTGACGAAGTTTTTATTTAGCGCTATATGTCAATGAAACAATGCGCCAAAAGACATTTACGTATGGCCGTTATTATATTATGAATATCGACAGTATTTATTTATAAGTCGTACGCTACGATCACTACAGAACACAGACATTGAACAGCATGTAGGAAAAATTAAAAACTTGTAAAAAGACTTTATACTAGGAGTATGACGCGCAAAGTGAGGAATATAGATATCGTAATTGTCAAACATGGCGGTTGCCCGCGTCGTTAAGCGGGCTACTTCGGACCACTTTTTAGCCTAATTTAGCTTCATATAGCCGAAAAGCTCATTTCAATATAATTTTGTTTCCACGCTTCTGTTCATCAAAATTTGTGATCAATTAATGGTATGATTAAACAGTCATATTTAGACATCACAGATTGGCGTTCTCTAACGCATGATTTTATGAAGGGATCTGAAAATGCGGCGTGAAGTTGACCCTTCTCCATGTAGCACTGAGCCTCCAGCTTATCTCTAATGGCTTATTACACTAATTCGATAATTACACTGTGTTTTCTAATTTCAGGCATTTTTTTGAATAAAATATCTTCCATACAAATATATTTGTGATATCTTTTTTTTTTTTGTTTGGCACGTTCAGTTACCACGTTACGAGTGATAGGTTGAAAAGCACTTCAAATGTACCGCATTCCTATGTGGTGTGTTCCTATGTAACTATGTTATCTTAAGGCATGCTTCGTTTAAATGTCGTCGAAAGTTTGTCTCACCGTTCTTCATTGTTCGTATCACTGTAGATTTTCTATTTCTGGAGCAGAAATCAGACGGTGCAATGTTGCCCCCGCTGGCATAAAGTTGCGCGTCTCGATAGCATTACATTATAGAATTCGGGCTTGATTTCTAATTATCGCTTTCTGTATTATAATTTACTCAACAGCTCTATTATTCTGGACATGGTGATGATTCGGGCGGGCGTTTGAACTAGATAATCATATAGTGTATATAAATGTTAAGCATAAGTAATCACGAAATAGAAGCGTATCGGCACCTAGCAACAAAATCAAGCCCTTAACCACCACCAAAGCCTTGACAGTTTTGCTTGTCGTTAACAACAATGATGAATGCTCCCTTTCAATGCCACTGGTGAGGTTTTAATGTTTTTGAACAGCTGGGAAATGTTTATTCTTCGGATGCTAAACGCTTGTTTTTAACTGAAGTAGCGTATCTGAAGCACGAGACACCAGATGCGCTGTCTATCGTAAACTGTACGCATATTCGGTATGAGAACGGTATCAAGCGTACACGAAGTTCAGAATAAATGTACACCATTATTGCTACGTTATATATAACGGAAAATGTCGTGTAAATATAGCAAATGTAACCAGTGCGTACGGGACAATTTCGAAAACAGATGCTATCAACCGTTAGCTAAATCATTTAATACACACGACCAGGATATTAGACCAGATCGAAAGATATGCTTTACAGGATGCAGGCTGTACCTTCGAATCACTATGGCAACCTGATAAACAAAGCGGCTAACGTCATGTTCTACAGTTATTTTTCGAATAAGGAACTACAAGATTCTAACGAACGAGAATTAAACCTCGTTGCTTGTATAGGCAACTAGATTCACTCGACGATGTCGTAGCACTTCTCTAAGAATATCCATATGTTTTTTTCTAAAAACATTGATTTAGATCGGAAGAGCCCTTAAACAGGTTGAAGACATTGAATAATCGGTAAACTACTCAGCACTAGAGGACAGAATGGAGTGTATCACAGTTTTCGCTATAACACTCTATGCTGATTGAGTATCTGTCTATAAGTTGAAAAGCAAAGATTCCGAGATCTAATGTGTGTTTTTAGGAAATGAGAACGTTGGCGAGCTCTATCAGCGACTGATCGAAACACACGACATGGCAGTCTTCAGCGAAATACTAGTTTTTTAATGGTTCAATCAATTTGGAGCGGCTAAACACCGCAGAGGGAAGACTCCACATGAAGACCTCAAACAGAAAAGCGAGTCGCTATTATTACGGAAGCTTTCAAGCGAGGCAAGCAAAGTACAATGCGCTTCTTGTCAATTCCGCATAAGACTCCGTAAAGCACTGGAGCTGAAGAAAGAAGGAGACTATCCACGAACTGAGTCTAAAGCAGGTAAAAAAAAACTGTGCTATGCTTCGGGGGCAATTATTATTAGGAAAAAACACTTTTGGAGCACGCTGTCACTATGGACAAGATCCGTACCAGTCGCGGCGTTCACCTTAAAAGTATCAGGCGATAGAATGGCTCCCTACAGAGAAACGAAAGTCTCCATATATCAGAGATTTAAGCAGTTGCTTTTATGTTTCAAGGAAGGTGATAGGTAGGGTAGCTTGTCTCAGTGTCGAGTTTCTCAAACAAATCCCTTCGCTAAGGACGGCTAGGTATGGCAATGCAAGTAATAACTATACAGTGTTAGGCAGCATCGAGGGTGCTGGCTTAATGCCAGCACCCTCGATGCTAAAAACACCTATAATAGAATGTCGTTGCTTCGTCCGTGTGAAGGACATCACATTTTTCGATGCGCTAAATAGCTCCTAACAAGACGTTTGTCACTATACATCTTTGAGTTTTGATCAATGACAATTTTAATAACTTCACAATTGGCTTGATACAATCATCATTTGACGTCACACTGACTCACTGTCGAAGGGGGAGTCCGGTGAGTACGTATGATCTTTCTAAAGCAAGCGAATCGATGCCGAAATGGATATTTTCACTCATCGGTAACCCCAGATATATTAATTCCTGTATATTATAGAATGTGTGGAGCAATGAAGCAATTGCGATTTTCACGTAATTGAACGATCGGCCACCGAAGCTAAATTACAAACACTAACCACTCAGAATATATGTTTAAAATTAAAGTGCACAAAGAAAAGAACACGTTTTTCTAGCTCGGTTTCACGTCTACCAGCCAGCTACGTTTCAATTTATCGATAACGAAACATCTACCCCTAGTGACCTGGAAGCAAACTTCGCATACTCGTATCAATACAGACGTTATGCGGCAGGTAATTGTACAAAGCGATCACTTTGAAAGTCAACCAGTGGACCGATATCCCAGATACTGATACGCAGTTATTTTGATTATCTTCTGAGTCGTCAAGCCGTCCGCGTCCGCTATACAGCCTCGATACTCGTTTGCGTTCTTTTTCTGTCACCCATTAAGATTCGTGCAAAGATCTGTACTGGCTGGCTTGGCAACGATGAGCTAACAATACACCTCAGCGGAGCACAGTACTTTACTTTCTGATAGTTGAATAGCCCTCTGAAGCTGGGCTCCTTTTAGCCCTATCACAATTCTAGAATGTTTTTTCTCATTTTTACATATACTGCTTTACAAATGAATGTGCGGAGCGTTGATTTGCTTGGCCGTGTCAAACCGTGGCCAACTAACATAGGACATTACCTATCGTATTAAATTTTTTGAACCAAGTAGAAGTAGTAGTGACTATTGATCTTGAGAGGAAACGCTGATAGGCGTACCGACAACAAGAACACGATGTTGGCTATTTTTACATTAGGATTTCTATTTTCTTTGTCACGAGCTATACATATCGGCCTAATACGTTGTTTTTCTTCTCTGTTAAGCTAAGGAATAGCGACAAAACAACTAGGACAGGTCGTCGTTAAAGGGTAATCAGAATGCGAGACCGCCTTCATATGGGCAAATATCGCTTATTAGCGCAGGTTGAATAGGGCAAACGGTCTGCCAGCGGTTAATGCTTCGGTTGCTGCTGTTCCAAACGGAAACATGTTAGGAACATTGAGAAAAAACTTACTTAGATTTTTGATAAATATTGTTTTACGTTCTATTATAAATAGTATAATATTAACGTAACTATAATGGCTCCGTTCGACTCTCACGGTACGCCGGCAGCTCAAGCAGCTCTTATAGCCCAGCACCACTCACCTTTGTTCTCGAAATAGCTAGAAATGATTATTGGAATCATTACGATTAGCCCAACATATGAGCTGCGTTTGCGTCAGTCCTGTGCAGGTGTTTCATTTCTTTGTTCTTTTGGCCATCCTGTTTGTTTATCCTTGCTAAATCGTGACACTCTAAAATAAGCGAAAGAAGCCCTATTATAAAATCATAAATTCAATACGACCCCGAGCGTCCGCCCCCCACCTAAGCCCTTGAAAGAGAACAATGTCGAAAGGCCTCTGTGGCGCAATTCTCGCGCAACCCAGACCAACGTTTATCAATCCCGCCATTCTATTCTATGCTATTCAACGGTGAAACGTTTTTACGCGCATACACGCTGCGCTCCGATCAACTGACTGACCAACGCGCTGATTTGCTGACGCTAAACTGTAGTGCGCAACTAGATATGTCAACATGCCTGCGATGATGTCTTCCTTATTTGCTGCGCGTATGTAGCTTTTACTCCTCCTGTTGCAATGGATGTCAGTCTGGTCGGTCCCTGCATTTAGCTGTTACTGGTATTGCTGTTGCTTTTTCAGTTGCTTCAGAGCGTTGAAGGTCTTGGCTCTGGTCGCCAGCTTCGTTCGTTTGGCGTCAGCTCTTATTATTCGATACACTCAACCGTCCGTCCCTATATTCATGTGTACAGCTGCAGAAGAGCGCTGTAGCCTGAACCTGAGCAATGGCGGTCACACTTCGCCAGCACACAAAGAACTGGGTCACCCTTCGCTGCGCGAGCCGTCTTGACGTCTCAGCAGCGAGCCATACTCTGTTGTCGTACGATGTAATATGTCTATGATATATCTGGTCGGTGTGAGTAAGAGTCTACCCAGGCTACTAACCGGCGTCAACTGCTAAACCCTTCGATCAACGAACCGAAGAGGCAGGCAAGCATCGTCTCAGCAATGGCGCGGCGGACCGGTCCATGCATTAGCACTTCAGAATAGCTTCGTCCTTTCAGCCGTGTTCCCTGCTGTCGCTGATACTGTGTATGAAGAACAGTCATCGTCGTCGTCGTGTGCTGTTTCTTGTCTGCTTGGTCCAGCCACCGTTGCTTGCCGATAGCGACGCACTTCTGCGTCTCGCGGCCCGTGCTAACTGCTGTCCGTATAGGGCATCAAACGTAAATGAAGGCAAGTGCCGGCTCCGCGGCGTGACGGTGAGGGCCTCATGTGCATGTAACGTGAACGAGGAGCGCGAGCCTTTTTTGCTGTTGGCAGTAAGACTTTTTTGCGCCGGTTATCGTCCCGACACGAGTTGTCAGGGTAACGCCAACAGAAGTACTTGCTGTAGGAAAATTGCTACCAGTTACCGCATAGTTATAGTGGTGAGAAAGAACTTGGGGTTTGTCGCCGCTGCTGCCGTTGTTGTTTGCTGTTGGTGAAATGTTCTGCGTAAAGCGTCAGCGCCAATACTAGCCAACCCGAAGCAGCGAAACGCTCACTGGGAAAGTGAACGGCATCGAATTGGCCACCGTTCCTTCATCGACAACTTCGCTGCTGCCACTAGCGATCATCCACGGCGGAGCAGCCCGGGACTCTCCATAGCGGGAACGTTGTTGTTGCCACGGCTAGCAGAGGAAAGTACCGATTGCTGCTAAATTCGTAACGGCGATTTCAAGCTCAACCGCTGACTGCTACGCTAATCGAAACTTAGTTGGCCAGCCAACAGTCTTTGGCAGCAAACGCCATGATATCATATTGTTAAAGTTGTTTCGCTGCTCCTAGCCTAGCAAACCCTAGTTTCCTTGCTGTGTTGGATGTATTATATAAAAGTAGTGAAGAGAAGTGTGTGCCTCTTTATTCAATTGAGAGCAACGGTCTACCTGGAAAAGGTTTGAGAAGGTAAGCACGCCAGGGATTACAGATGGCAAAAGGATCTAAAAAGTTTGTAAACATACAGTGTTGAGGTCTCTGAAAATCTTGTGACAAGGGCCTTGATATGATTGGTAACGCTGGTCCAGGCAGCTTGCTACAGTGAATGGGCACCCGCTCCTCTGGGCTAACCGGAATTGACGCGGAAAAGAAGATCCTACTGCCAGTACCAACTAACGGATCGGTCTTCGCCCGGAAGTTGGGACAATTGCTCCGGGGATAACATATGATCAGATATTGTCCGACTTTAATGCAATCAGCGTAAGGGGACCGAATGGGTTACAATGAGTGGTTCTCAACACCTTTGTCGAGGGTATGAAGACAGTGAGCAAAGAAAGCTTCGCAAAACTAATACTACAGCTGCTGCTTTCTGTAGCGCCAGCAGCAATCGAACTCTAGCGGCAGAAGGCTTGTACGTATTGCAGCCGGCGGACGAAGATACGAGGAGATCAAACAAGCCCCTGTTGCGACGCTGATAGAATTGCCGCAGCTATCTCAGGCTTAGCATGAGCAAATACTGGAATACTGCAGGGAGTAATATGAAGTTATGCGAAATTTGTTGTAGAGCTGCAGCTGCGCGCAAACGAACCTCTACTTAAGTTACTAGTGACTTTTCAAATTATTATTATAGTATTATATAGTATGTACAGTATCATACAATGTAACATTAAGCTTCAGGAGCTACAGGTGCATTTCCAACAAAGGAAAGTGAAGACATCATGTTTGTGTATAATAAGATAATCCAGACTGTTTGAGACAATTGTGAAGATGGTCCTATACGTTCATCAATAATCAATCGCAACTACATCGTGTCGAAAGATCGTGTTTTCTCAATATTGCCAACGTTCTGGATCGATCATTGATCGCCTGTTTAATAGTGCTTGGTAAACAAATTTCTTTCTCTCGATAACGGCGGTGTCGTAATCCAATATGTGGAATCGTGCTGCTCGTCACCAAGTTCCCAGAAATGTCCAGGTGACTTTGTATCTAACAAAATAAAAACAAAACGAATAATAAAACGACATCAAAAACCTTTATTACATGGGTACTTTATTAGTGGAATTCTAGTGCAGAATATATCCACATTTTATCGATTAAGGCGAGAATGGATAGCTGCTACATAAAACTTACATACTCTATTTGATGTTCATTCATCATACCTAACCTACAGGTTGTCGAGGTTAATTTTACTTCGATCTTTCATCAATTTTTACTGGATTTAGAAATCCACTAAATACATTAGAAATGGAATTGCCTTTCTTTACAAGCAGCTAGAACGAAGGTTCTATAGTTCCTAAACTCTGAACAAACTTTTTACAAAGATCATTTACCCGATAAAATAGTACGCGGTCGAATTCGAGTAAATAGTCTTGGTTCAACGGTCAACGAATTGGTCGTGTTTTATATATGTGTATAATAATAATAATAATAATAATAATAATAATGATGTGTATATATGGTAAATATATAACAAACGTTTGTATAATTTTGTGGTCTTGACAGGTTTAACCAACCGTAGTACCCGGATCTTGTTGGGACTTTTAGCCGGTAACCATAGCGTTCCGCAGTGAGAAGGTAGGTAATAGTAAAAACATGAATATTTAGGTAAAATATTATTTCACAACAAAGATCTACAAGCTTCCATGTTTGTTGAAACAGCATCGTATTTTTGAACCAGACAATAGAAGCTTACCCTTTACTTGTTGAAGCCGGCAGCGTTTAGTTGTCGTCTCTTTTACTAATGAATAGAAATAATGAGCATAGATAGTAATCACGCAAACGCAAAGTTTGTGCTGAAACATGTGCAACCAACGCGCGAAGAAGATTCTATTCTTCTATCACCTACACAGGCTGTAGTGTAGAAATGAGCAGTGTCCACGGTTTTCCTGCATATAATCTTTTGTTTGAGCATTAGAAACAGCATGAATGGCGTCTGAAAGGATGCAAATGCTCTAAATTTCGACAATTAGCAGTGGCTATCACCCAAGCTCTAGCTGGAATTTATTTTGTCATTGTCCGATAATGGTGATACGCAATGGAAACTTAACTGTTTACCCGAAACTTATCGATATTTAATCGACCCGCACGCAATACGGGGGCACTTAAAAGCGAAGCGGGGCCTAATTTCATTCTATCCATAATTACTGTAGCAGCTAATAGAGAATTTCCCTAAAAAGAAGGCCCTTCGAGTAGATTTTTCAGGGATGCAATGTCGAGTGTCTCTTAAACAGAGACATTCGAAAATTCATTGAGCGTTTAAAGAAATGACAAATAGTTTATCTCTTTATCTCAGGATGATAAAACACGAACTTTACTATAAAACGGCATAGGCGGACGCCTCGAAAGTTCGAGATCAAAACGGAGTTCCTGAGTTTACGCCTGATGTACGTGTAAATTTTTTGATAGTGTATATTGTTAATGGTCATCAGAAATTTGTTTTGAAAAAAGGCTCTGACTCGATTTTATCTAATGAATCCAGACCCAGAATCCAGCGTAAAACAACCGCTTGATCAAGAAAAGGCTTCCATGCGTTAGACCTTCAGTTTTCGATGGAGAAATATGTGTTATATGTACAAACTTTTCTATAATGTTTCCTGGAAGTCGCAGATATTAGGTAAATTCTTCAAAGAGACTTATGAAGTATTCTCGCAGAATTAAGTTATTTATCATTAGTTGGTTTCGTATAATAAGAAACTGGCAGGTTCTAGCAAGTTCCTTTAACGTGTCGGTAGTTATTTATAGCAGTAGAACCGCAGCGATGAACAAGACAACGATAAGCCTTAAATGATATAAAGTAGCTGCAACGCTTCTATACCCAGCCACGATTACACTGATATTACTATATAATATATTTTTGCTTTAGCTCAGGCTCAACATTCTCCGACCTCAAGCTATGCCCCCTTGAGAAAGCAAAACAAACATTTTGAGACATTCAGGCCTCACCGGTCGACGAGCAAAAAACACATGTGAGTTACTATCGTTCTCTAAGAGGCCGGCATGCTTATTTCAGCTGTAAGTAAGCCCAGCAACGGAAATGGGACAAAGGACTGTATTCATTTATATTAAATGGCTCAAGGTTCCCGTTGGCCCCCGCCCGTTGCCGTACACTTCTACTACCGAATCTGGTTTTCGGGATTTTCTCGCGAGCACCAAATCGACGTACATTTACAACGTCGTGTGTCTATATAATGTGGACATAACGGCAGTAGCGGTCTAGTTTGCATGGTGTATTAGATCAGAATAAAATCGAACGATCTACAGCCGACCAGGAGTTTTCGAGCTCGAAATCCTGGGGAATTTTTAGACGCTAATCTTAGGATTAACGAGCAAATTCCTTTTGGATGCAAAACGTACGAGCTGATGCTAAAGTTCTATACATTGAACAACAGCTTGACAACCTGATCCTTCTGTTATCGCTGACCAATCGGTATCAGGCGGGAATCGACTTTTCGCGACTTATGATTCGCGGCATTTTATGCGCGTGTCCGGTACCACTTGGCTGACCTCGGATATATATATATATATATATGTGTGTGAGATATGGAAAACTAGCGCGGTTTGTTCTACTTTCGGCAATGTTTTTGGTAAGTGCCCGTCTAAAGCGAAGAGAAAATGCGTTTAGGCCAAGAGCTGAATGAGCGCAAACGAATGCATAATAGGGTAGTGTCTATTCGGTCACGATGCCAATGCAAAACAGCTTCAGATGCCGCTATGTGCCACTGGGGGTATGTCGAGAAAAAGATGTAGTATCTTCTAAGGACAAGCGTTCCGCTGTTATGTTTCTTTTAAGATTCCACATAGGATAAAGGTCGTATCTAAGCAATAAGCTGCTGGTCTCTTGTTAGAAAAAAAAAATTTTCGAACGTTTTTGATAAATATAGTAGCAATACTGATAGGCGTATTTCGTAGATGGCATGAAATTGGAGTAGGGTGGCCGAAATAAATAGCAAATTCTACAGCGAAGGTAGAAATAGTTTACCTCACATAGTGACCAGCATAGAATAACATGTCAGAGGTAACTTCAGCTGACTGCTCTAAATAACTTTATACCAGTAACGCACACTACCTAGGTAAACATATAAACACAGATATATCCATGACACTGTCCAATGCAGTATCATAACAGCCTATCTACAAGCAATTCCAGTAAGCGAATTCTGTATCGTTACGGGTGGATTCGTTATTAAATGGATTTCCATTCAGGGCATTACGGCGATAGCAAAAGACAGATATAATTCTGACAAGCACACCATTCTATGCAGTGTTTAAAAGGTATGGCATTATTCATTGCCTACTTGTCACATACATTGGAACGAATGCATCTTCTCGAGTCGTTTTGAGTGACGGCTTCAAAATGATGCCCTAGGGCCATTCTTTAACTACAACAAGATGTAGATATCGAAGTGGATAGAACACGGCGTCCTTCTCGCGTGTTCTCCCCTGGAGCAATATAATACCCAGCGGATGTTTAGCTGATCCGTTGGGAACGACGTACAAACAAGAATGATATTTGTTTGCTGTCGTTCAGAGTGATAAGCTTCGGTCCATGCAATAATAATAATAATAATGATAACAATGATACGTCCCACACTGCTTTATCAGGAGAACCATATGTCTTCCCCGCATTAGTCTAGTGAATACTACCCCCAACATCGTAGCGGCTGTTGCAATAGATCGACACAGTGGCCCCTTCTATACCCCTGGTGCCGTTAGTGGTGGCCAGATGTCGGCCCAAAACAATCTAATCGGCGTAAAAGAAAGTCCGCCGGGGTCGATACGTTCCGGGCACAGAACACTTCGCTGGAGGTAATGTAAGTTAAACCGAAGGTCGCACCGTTGATTTGTACCCAATCGTAGCTACCGATGGTGACAGCTTGCGATCGATTTTTCGTCAGGCGTTCTAATCAGTCGGTGAAATACCCGATACCGGTATCCCGCACGTCAGAATGATTTTAGTGTCGATTTTTAGATAACTACGCTCAAACGTCTTCAAAGCGTACCTTCAAAGCGTCAACAAGTGTACGGCCGCAGTGGATAACTCATGTAAAGTAACGTAACGAGAATTCGCGGATTTGTTTAATGCCAAACTGTTAGAAACGGATTGACCGCTCAGAGATGTGAACAGGCGGAAATTGTCTATCAACGCGTAGCATAGAGGTCAAGTACGTATGGAGCATTCGATATCCTAGATTGTTAGGTATCTACTACTGTTGCAAAGGGCGTTTTCATGGGCGAACTTAGTTGTAAGCTTGATGCGAGGTGTAGCTGATCCTTAGCAGTAATGTTTACATATGATAATAACTATCAGTAAAAGATCAGAATAACAGCGGCGTATACTGCGTCTTATCGATTAAAATTGCCAACGCTGGGTGATCAACGGACAAAAATATAACCGCTATTTTTACTGGGGATCTCTGCCTCATAGGTCTCTTGTGCAACTCGTCGATGGCAAAACAGGACTTCTCGATATTCTCCAGTATCATTTGATATTCTAGTATAGTATAACGAAGAAAGTCAAGCCATGCTGATGACACATAACACACGAATCGTGTGTACAAAGCAATTTATTTATATACATGTATTACTTTGGTGCAGTGTAGATCCATCCGCAACTCAATTCACACATTTGAAGATTCACAAGCATGGCGTTATTTCAGACACGTCACCCCAGTCATCGTAGGCCACTGACCAGGCCTTCGCGTTCAAACAAGTCATACCCACGCTGCTGCTGTCGATCCCACCGCATACCTTGGTGATTCTGCAATATCTGGTTTTGTATGAGGCGTCGATTGGCAGTTGGTGAGATTTGTATAGCCAGCATCAGTAAAAAAAAAAACAGCAAAAAGTATAAAAGTTGATCGAGGCACCGAACTTCTATCAAGGTTACCGATTTGCACCAGAACGGGGCGAAGGAGGAACGCAGAATTGACAAGGGGGTAATTGATAGCAAAGGGTGTCGCAACTACTTTGAACGGAAGGAAGGCCTGTGGTGATTGGCTAAAATAGTGAGGTGGGGGACCCTCCGGATGTGACCCCATCAAAGAACCTCACTGGGTGTCCGTCTCGCGTATGGACGTTTTTTCCGTTTACGTATGCGCGCAGACATACAGAACTCGTGATTGCCTGCAAACATTGATTAAGCCAATTTGTAAAACATTAACAGATCAATGTGAAAGATCGTCAGTAATCAGACGGTGGTGTCTCTGTCAGTTTTATTAGCATAAATCATTTCTGCAACACAACATTTTGTAATTCCAACGTAATCTGTGTGTGGTCTCCACTCACATGTGCCTGAGAAATTATAGTAAAAGCAAAAAAATGCTCATTCACATTGTGTACTCATTAGTAGCGTTTTGTGATACAGCTAGCGGTACTAGGGAGCTAGTGGGAGTTCTCACGGATGAACGCTGTGCGAAAATGTACAGGCTTGGTATGTATATGGTAGATACAAAATTGCAGTTGGTTTGTTTTTAAATTGTAAATAAACATATATATATATATATATTTTCGCCGTCTGTTTAGCTGCCATTATTCTTACTGAGTTACAGGTACGATTAATATCAGTCAGCCCGAAGGCTAACCAAGCTGGTCAGGCTTTTCGTTCGTGAATCAGTGTTGATCGGATAAGGCTGGTAATCCCGAGTGCTGTGTATTAGCTGTGTCTGTTTGTCTGGAGTGGTAGAAACACTCTGACGTATGCGGTTTTCGTTCAAACATAGCATCGGTAGTAAGGGTGATACATCGGGACTACCTGAAATCGGCGCATTTTCGTAAGAACTTTTAACGAGTTATCTCAAATTCTGTTGCGATCGTGGGTGTGCGAGGAGACTCTGCTCTGGAGTATTTATATCTGTGGCGTGAAAGAACTACTATTTGTGGCTCGTCAATTCTCATTGTTCGCTGACATCCTGACACGCCCTACGACGCTGACAGCGGATTAATTAAAACACTGAGCGCACCATGTGCGACCTGCCAACCTCTGTGCGTGCCGTCGCTGAACGCGAACTCGGCGAGACGCCATCCCGACGTCGCGCAGAACTAAAAAATCTCCGCCGGTTAATTGCTGAAGAAGAAGGGTTTAATCCGCGACAGGATGATGCATTTCTGCTACGATTCCTTAGGTGCCGTAAATACGACGCCGACAGAGCTTTCAAGGTGAGTGAGAACTACAACTGTCCAGGAAAGAGAACTCCAGTTCTATGTAAGGTGTTAGCTTCACGTCATCATCACAACAAAGCAGACATTTAATCGCAAAATTACAGTTATGCTTACTAGTAGATCAGTAATTAATCAACAACGATACCATTTTGTGTCATAACGTCTATAGGACGAGACGGGTTAACGACAGGTATACAAAGAGCTAAATGCGTTACCTATTATATTTAATCGTATACGCACGTAAATCTTCCGCACAGCTTCGTCTAATGTGACATTAAATTGGTTAGAAAAGATAATCCCAGCATGTCAGTGAACAAAATCATGATGGTCTCAGTTTGGTTATGCTGGCCGTCTATTAGTGGTTATAGGATTGACCGACAGAACTGGTGGGGATCTGTAGATGATGTTTACACAAATTGACAACGAAAACAAATGTCTGTCCATCACTAATTGGTTTTTGTTAAATTCGTGATATAGAACTTTTTCTGCCGGCACCGTATCGCCACACTGGCGCTGCGTAGATTCGTCGACTAATAAAACGAATGGAAAAAATCAAATTGCCGAATTTCCTGATTCCCAATTTAAATGAGTACTACTTTATACATCCTGTCAGGAAGCTGTAGGTCAGAAGCTAATTACTCATATCTTAAAGCCACGACGGTAGCATTCTTAACGTATGCACTGTTTTTCATAGCCGACACTTCGTATTCCTAATTCGGTTTCATCGTCCCGTGTCTTCCGGCGCACCCGCTATGTAAATTGCAAGCGAATCGAGACTTCGTGACCACAAACAAGATGTTTGCGCATTTCGGTGTCCACAGAACAGCAATTTGATGTCTCCGTCAAAGCGGCCATTTGCAACCAGACTAAAAATGCGCATGCGCACCGTTCTATTAGATGATATTAGCGCCGTTGAGCGGAAAATACACGAACAAATCAAGCATCGTGCCCAATGTATAACGGGTGTTATTTATTTATTATAGAGGATCTCTACGCGGGGTTCTAATATCCAATTGAACGTTGGAGTCGGCCCAAAGGAATACTTTTCTAAAATTCGTGGCTTTATAATTTTCTACAGTTACACCCGGTAAACGGAGGTTGGGCGTCAGTAAAGACAAAAATCCTCGTTCTGATGACACGAATGATAATACTTGAAGAGCGTCACTATTTGCTTATCCCATGTGCAAAAAAAGCCAAGAACTGTGGACGTATGTCCTATTTGCAACGAGTTTTTTCCTGTTGTCAAAACAGCAGGCTCTCTTTTTATCGGCTAGCGAAACCTGTAGGCATTGAATAATTTTTAAACGCCAGGCCCTATTCTGATATTGAATAAAGCCGTGGTCTTGTAGTTGCCATCAATGTAGCATAATTTACACGCGTGTTTAAAATAATCAAGGTTTGTTCTTCTGTTAGAACACATATTTTGGGTTTTGCGTGCGATTGTACCGTTAGGTATTATCTCAAACAGTTTACTCCGAGCATAAAACAAAGCGTGTCTAATATGTTTGCTTTTTGAAGCTAGGCAATCCCAAGTACTCGTAAGTTTAACTGAAAAATACGTTATCATTGTACGATTATGGCGAATTATCTTGCTGGAGGGGCATTGATGCCCGTACTGCACTGCGTAAGTAACAAACGCTGCACCATTTCAATCAGCTCATAATGTAGCCTAACTCAGACTGAGGAACACATGTACAATATCCGGACTCAATACCATTTATTCGTATATAATTATACGCTAACGTTATTCTCATTTTATCTAAACGGACGATAAAATCATGGACTTTTAATAATTGTTCATTTCTAATTAATAAATATCTGTTTTGTAAAGATTAAGTTCTAATTCATGTTTAGCATAAGTCGGAGTGGTTTCTATCGCGTTCTACCGGATATCGCCAAGCAATGTAGTATTATTTGGCCTAATGAAAGGCTGAATATTTTGCATGCGCTACGATTGTTATCAAACCGTGATCCAGTCATGGTATTCATTTAGTGTTGTAGTATGAACCTTGTATTTTTGCTCGCCTCAATTTTTCTCCAACGCTATTAATAACGCCTTTAAATTCTACCTTACGGATTGTTTTTGCTCGTTCGAGGTTAGCCTTTTCGTGATGAATCTCAGAGCAATAGAATCTGCGGATCTCAGCGCCACAGAGCAGACACCAGCAGTCTCTATTTTGAAGGTCGCTTTTTTCTTTACAATCGTTAAACTTGCCTTTCTCAAACTCGCTTATTATTGTTCATTCTATGGAGTGCTCCAACTGTTGAGAACGTAAAGCTGGTAATCTGTGTGAAACGCTGGGCAATTAATTACTGTATCTTTTTTTTTTTTACTCACTTAATTGTTGGAGAAAAAAGATTGGACCAGATCAAGGTCCTCTAGGCTAGAAGCTAGATGATAAGATATAATTCGTTAGAGCATTTCAAAATGGTTAGCTAAATTAATGCATTTTTGGTTTAGATGTAGATATCTATGTTGTAGATGTAGATGTAGATGTAAGTATCTAAAATTGCATTTAAAGTTAGAAGCAAAAAACTTTCAAAAAACGAAACTACTTTCTAAGTGAAAATAACCTAGGTGCAGTCGCTTAAAAATATTAAATATTTCATTGTCCCTTAACTCCATGTTTAGGTGGACTATTCACGCTACTTGCTCAGATTAGTATACGGAAGTTTTATGGAAACGTACTCCTATACTCCGAAACGGAGTAGAGAGACCTTGTATCAGTTTATATATGTCATTGTTAAATCTATGCGAGGCAATACATACATAATGCAAAAACATGAACTGTAGGCCCCCATATTAATATGACAATACTTATTTGAAAGATGGTAAGTTGTGAACTGAATTATTTAACGTAACCATTTTTACGTTAAGTTTTTTAAATGGCCGGTTCTTGACTCTAATGCTACGATCGCTTGCCGCTTCAGGTTTTAAAAAATTACTACAAGATCCGATCAAATCATCCACATATCTTCGGTGCGTTTCATCCATCCGCTCAGGAAGGTACAATCAACCTAAACCTACAAACCATCCTTCGCGGAAGGGATCGTAATGGCTGTGCTGTCTTCATCTTCAAAGGTTCGGACCTCTCCCCTTTCCCCCGCTCCAATCACGTTGCCTATGTACACTTCGAAAATTATATCTATACCATTTGTAATTGAAGTCGATGTTCGAGGCTGAGTAAGGGATAGATAATTTACTTGGGCACGCGGAGAAGTATTTCCTTTAGTGAATCGTGCTTATTTAAAGTAAATCAGGTACTATAGGAGAATGGGAGAGGCCGGCCCAGTTTCTGGTCTCGAAATAAACAACGGCTGTATAGTTGGGTCAACTGTTAACCTGTTTGGACAAATAATTTGTTTTATACATTATAGAGGCAAATACGTTAATATTTGAATTGATAGAAACGTCATTGAAATAGCATCAGTAGCAAAATAGGACAGTATGATCCCAGTATGATCAATAAATAATCAAATTCGACAAGTTGAAGTTTGCAGTGCATCTTCGGTAGCGTAGCTCGTTCACAAGACAACGTTTCGTTATATACAATTAAATTTATTTGTATATAATAAACGTTTGTACTTGGTGAAAATATTGATGTCTACGTATGTTGATATCTTGTTGGTAGTAATGAGTTGGGACAAATTATCTCTTGTAAGGGTGCCCTTAACCCGCAGCTGTCAGCATCACACTCACAGCGTTGAATAGAACTACGAAATACTAGATTTAAACAGATACTATGGACTATTATCATATGGATAAAGAAGATGACATAAACAGATATTTATATATATGTTTGTAAAAGTATGTGACAATGTTGAAAATCTAGTTAGTGAAAATTTTTCGCTGGTTATAATTTAGGTGGTTGCTGGGATCCGAAAACAACAAAACCGGAAGACATTTTCAAAGTCAACGTCATGTTCCTCGAACAGAGCATTCAGGATCCTATTACGCAGGTACATTACGGGAACAAGATAGGAATGGTTTAAAGTAACTTTTCTTTTATTATTATTATTACTGTGTATCGTAGCGAATTGAAAAGATGTATTGTACTTATAGCCTTAGTCGATTGGCCTGAAGGTGTATGGTCAACACAATAAAAATAATAATGAGCTCAAAGCTAGAAGATACTACGTATCCGCAGCGGGTCTAGACACCGGGTGTCTGCCGTAAGGACATACATTCGGTCCCGCGGCGTCCTTATTCAGTTCCATGGTATGAATAAATATATAGATCTACACGGTAAGCAGATAGTCTCACATTCCGACCCCCATGTGATTCACCGCTCTTCTGGAACGTATAATCTAAGCTTAAGTTACGTTAGTTCTAGAGGTTTTTGATTTTCCACCGAAAAAGCTTCGTCTATTATATATCGATACAAATTACCAAATAGTACGCTGTTAATATATAATAATATCGAATGAGATGATGGTATTGTCTATTTTATGCCAGGTAAACGGTATCTCTGCCATAATGGACATGAAGCACTTTGGATTGCTTCAACTTCGTCATAGTCCGCCAGCACATCTACAGAAGGTAGGACGATTCTTCGATGAGATCTATATATCACCGGGAAAATCGCCTGGGCCATTAAATGTTCGTCGATGATTAGCGATACAATAATTTTTCACCGCTGTTATGCCCAGTACCTCAGGAAAACTGGGCCGAACAGAATCGTATTGTAAGAGAACACTGACAGATTCGAAATGACATAAACTATATTAATTTAATTGAAAATACCAGCCTATTTCCACATTGCCGTATTTGTAATGTATTAACAGGACGTTTTGCTGAATGTGGACAGCGGATTTGGGTGGAAATTATTAAAAAATCTAGGCTGAAGGTTGACCTTTTTTGTGGTAAATTTACGTAGTATTACGCAGTTTTCTAATAAAAACTCATGAAAGTCAGATGCTATTTTTTAATTCTTTTATAAAAAAATTACATTTCTCCCCTTTTGTTCTGTGAATATAGCTTTAGGTCTATGGTAGCGTGTTTCTTAAAACGAGAAAACCCAGAGAGGATTTAGTAAAAATTATGGTTAAAGCGCCGGACCGGAATTAATGCTTTCTTCTGGGTAACCGCCAGAATGTTTGGTTTTTAAGTATACGTATCAATGCACGAGCGTACATATTTACAAATAAGATGGAGGAAAGTAATTCTTCAAAAGGTTACTTTCGAAACCACCAAACGTATGTTAGCTTTCTATGTGACTGCCGAACTCTACAAATAAGCTATAATTTCTAATTTATGTAGCGCCTTTGATGCAGCAGTGACTGGCTGGCTGGCTGGCTGGCTGGCTGGCAGGCTGGCAGGCTGGCAGTTGAATAATATTAATAGATATATTTTTTTTTGGAATTCACCAATTTTCCAGGTAGTACAACTTATCCAGGACTGCTTTCCGGCTCGGTTCAAAGCTATCCATATCGTTCACGAACCCGCCGTATTCGGAATTCTGTTTGGCATCGTTAAAAGGTACCATACGCTTAGATATCGGGCCATTTTAGCCAACCTATTCTATTAGCTTCACCATAAGGTAGATGACACTGTTGGCCACGCAAAATCAGTACATTTCATTTTGATTTAGCGTCACGATCCTCGAACTCTTAGGCCGGCCACAATGTTCATAGCAACAAAACGGTTACACTAACTGAATCGGTAAGTTGATTGACAAACGCTTATGGATTTGAAGCAGGGGAACGTACGGTTCCAAGTCTCTGCCGCTGCCGTTCTGTTCATTCTGACCCTTTAAATCATCTTATTAGCAGTTAGTTACAGAACTAATACTATGACATTTAAGTGAACAAAAACCATTCTGCTAAATTTTTTTATTTACGGCCACGTTTACCAATCTGCTAGATTTCTCAACACAAAGCTCCAGAAACGTATTCACTTTCACGGTAGCAACTATGATTCACTCCACGAGCACGTTCCCGCATCGGTGCTTCCTGAAGAGTATGGCGGTGAGCTGCCAACAATGAATAACCAAGACTACTCAAAGGCCATGTTTGCTCGCGATGATGAGTACATAACTGACCTTCAATACGGCTTTCAGAAAAGGGACGCAGGTTGCGTTGACTCGATTGTGAAGGATACGGTAAAAGATCACATAGCCGACAATGTCGACAACAAAAAAATACTTTCAGCGGCTACCACTGGGTAAAGGACAAGTGGTAGAAATTAGAACACGAATATTTATATAAATATACTGTGTATGCGTAACGGTGTCGCAACGAGAAATGGCCAGAAAACTGTATGGAATAGAGTAAAGAAACGTTTGGTGTTCGTATGGAGAAACGCAAAAGTTCAACATGGCTATAGATTCATTGTAGAGGGGGTGCCCATTGCAAATACACCCCAGCTGACAATATGCACTATATGTATACACTAAGCTTGCGCTTGATATCTACTATCGACGAGTAGAGAAAACACATGCCACTCGGTGTTAACTTACTATGGATGCAAAAATGAAGCGGAGAATCAGCCTGAGAGCAACTTCCAAAAAGCCGCACATTACATGTACGAGAGATAGAAATTGCGTCATTATAATATTAGATGGTTTCAGAAACAAAAACGTAGAACTTGTTGTCATTGTATTAGATGCGACTGAAAACACACGATAGGTACTTCGCCAGGTCTGTTGAAGGATCGTTCTGCTGTTGTTGTTATATATATATGATGTTAAATTATTACTGATCATCGGTAACTTACTACTAACCTTCGTGGGAGTTGAGTGTCTGATTTACGTTAATGGGTGGTAGTTAAGTCCACAATTTGTATGTACATAATAAATACTTAGGAACCAAAGGGATGAGATGAGACACCTTTACTATATATTTGCACACGCACATATTTTTTTGTTAAACAGGATGTCGCAATATATAGCGATATCGGACACAGTATGTGACATTTGAAATAGCTTCAATATGAAAAATTACCGTAGTGAAGATCAGCAACGAAGATAAATCTGTGAAGCGGTACAAAATATGAAGCAGATGAAATAAAAAAAAAATTCTAGGATAAAATCTACGAGTCTAATTGTTGTTGGAATGGTGAGGAAACGTATTCGACTGACCTTTTCGAAATATCCAAAAAAGCAAAAATTAAAAAATATGGGAAATTAATGTTGATTGCATATGTGCTAACTAAGTTAAGTATAATGAGATCGGAACCGCAATCTTCCAAAAGTGGGTAAAAAATACGCTATGGTACGTACATTGACTAGGTAACAAAATTCTTCTCCGAGTAGCTCAATATCGTATACGACATTTAACCAATTAAATTTCCAGTTGTTAACAATCGTCATAGACTTTGTTTCCGGCTTGATGAGCTCCAGGCGGGAAAGATTGTCGGTACTATAAATAGAAATGTGGCGTTTTCATAACGTTTGTATGCGCCACGTTTTTCGTTTGGGGCAGACTGGATCTGGGTATCAGAAGATGACCACATTTTGCGCCAATGAAATAGGTTAAAATTACTAGTGAAGGACCGAATTCAAAATTCTCTCATTTAGAATACACGATTACTATTATTATGCCATCTCTACGTTCCCCTATTAGATAAGGACGATGACTAGTATCGGTGACTGCCTTTAGAAGTTTCACCTTTGCCGTATCTGACGTCGTTTCGGTTAACGCAAAGCCTCGTGAAGCCGTTCAAATATTGTCACAGCAAAGTTTTCACTTTGATCTTATGACGAAGTAGCTTTAGCGCGCACCGCCCCGTCGTTTCACTGAGCTAAGTTCTTGTATTTCCGTGAACGAATAGTACACGTTTCGAACAACAACGCAATGGCGAATCACAGTTTTTGCCTCAGGCTTTGTAGGTCGTTGCAAGCGGCCCCTGTTCAACGACAAACCTGCAAATTCCTTTTTGTCTTCAACGAAGGTCTACTATAACGAAGGCGTTTAACTATATGAAACTTTAATTTAGATTCGTTCACTTAAACACGGTGGGCCTATTGGCACGAGTGTAAATGTACCTTTCTACGGCTTATTAGTTGTTGGCCTAGGAGACCGGCAGCGTGACAAAAACACGTGAACTCGCAGGTTTCTGCGGCCTAACGGATATTAGGTTTGTGCTGATATCTTTCAAATACCACGTGTCGTTTTTATGATAACGGACAACGGTAACGTATTCGTCTGCCAAGCTCAGACACAGATGGCCTGCGTTTGAAGCCGGGCGTAGGCACATCTGGGAAAGATTCAGTCGTTTAAAGCTATGCTTGACGCCTTAAATACCGGGCGCAAAACTAACATTTAGTCAGCATTTATTATTTGAATATCTACTTAAGTGTTGTCTGCTATTGGGTGCGCAAGATGTTACAGGAAAATAAGAAGGTTATAGAAAAGCCACATTTTAGGTAGCTGGGGTCAAACGATGCACTCAAAAAGCATTTGGTAATGCGATGACACTCTGTAAACCTTTTGGCGAGAGACCGAGGTGAGTCCAGTTAAGCCGTGGGCTTTTTTTTTTTCTTGATAAACTCCGTAGTAATATTTCACGGTTGAGATCCGGGGTGATTGAACATGCGGAGACCGAAAGCTGAAAGTCAGCCACGAGGTTAGAAACCTTTCATGTGCTAGTGGGAAGAGAGATGCGTGAAAACACATGTGCGGCCAGGTACGAACTTCGGTGTGTAGCTCATCTTCAGAAATCTTCACCAGGAAGTGTTGTACATACAGCCGGTCTACTGTAGTAGTGCGGTTCATACAATGAAGGTTCCGAACGGCGAAAATTGGAGTATTCAGCTCAGAAAATTATAATGTACGCGAGCACAAACTGTTGTACCGTAAGGGCAACTGATATTCGGTACTTACATCAACACACATTGCACTATACGATATACCGAAGAAAGATAATTCGGCGAAAATATCGGAAGTACTCCATCTTATGATGTCGTCAATATTATTTATTTGTCGTATAGTATGAACTGCGATTTTCGATCGTTGTTTTTTTTCTTCCCTCACCTTATATCTAATTAGTATAACATTATTTTAAATATTCATAGCTAGTCTTGTTTATCTGGCGCAGCCTGCTGCTTTTTTGTCGATCCCTGTCACAGTACAGATTACGTGTGTTTAGTAGGCTTCCTATTGCCCATTGCACTACATTCTAGCAATATTTAATTAAGTCAGCGGCCTTATATTTGTTTTAGGCGTAATGTGCTGTCGCTGTCTTATCTTAGTCAGGCAATGGGTCCGTTTTCAAAAATCCTTTCTCCTTGGATTTCTTAGTGAAGACTTTAATATGTGGTACATTTTGACGCTTTTCACGGTGTCTTTTTATCATCTGTCAAAATGGTGGCTTAAAATCTATATAGGCCTATATGGCTATTTCTTGACGTTGAAATCAAGCTTCCAATGAGCTGAATCGAAATATTATGCATGTACCTACATATCTTTTTTCCGGGTGAAAATACCCATTGAAGGAGCAAAATTTAATACGGTATTATATGAAAAGCTCGAGAGATCTTGAAAAACTAAATGAGAACGCAAATCAACATTCCGGGCTAAAAAAAGGTAAGAACCCGATTTTGGCACCTGTGACTCACTTCGCATGCTCTGAAAATATGTTTTAAGACTTTTTTTTTTTAAAATAATTTTCTATAAGTGTTAAGGTTAGAGCGGCTGATGATTACTACATTTATATTCAGCATTTTTCTAACTTTCTTTTTGGTAAAGAATATCGCGATTTAAAAAAAAACATACACTAAATAAATTATTCGTTTTTTAGGTTTATTACCGAATCTTTGATATATTTCGCTGAGCTAAACTAAGAAAGCAGTACCCTGAATATATGTAAAATGGCCTTAAAAGAACAATTTTATTAATTTGTAGGTAATGGTTCAGTAAGGATTTTGTGAAGTGGAAAATTTCTAATGTACGTCAATAAGAAAGTTGTACCGGCTGTTTGTTATGAGCTATGTCTGAATGAATAAACTTTTTTTAATAATACTTATTGAGTCAAATTACTTTATTAATATAAGTGTTTGTTCTGATCAAAATAAAACACTATTGACGGTTTTTTTTTACAATAAGGAATATATCTCGGTTAGCTGAGCAAAAATGTAATATATATTCTTAAAGAAAAGATTTATGTTTTGACGAAAAACCAAATTCGGCATCCGTGAACGCTTTCCCTTGATGTCGACCGCCAAAGGTCAATTCCATTTACCAGCATTCCAACAATAAAGGTAACCAAGCGTGAAGTCCGGTAAAAATCAACCGAAGGACGGTGCGACTAACGTACTTCATTAAGACGTCTACCAGACGTGTTGCTACAATGTCGTCAAACGTACTGACTCTGCTAATTATATTCACGTGCGTCCCGAAAAGGGAACTGATCAGTTAACATTAGAAGGTGCTTCCCATAACGCCACTGTAGTAATTAAAACCCTCACGCGTAATGACAAAAAGCGAGACAAAAATAAATAAAGTTTTAAGTGTTGCAGTTATACACAGATTTAATTTCGATAGATCTTCGTCTGCAGGGGCTACCAGAGTCTTCTGATAGTGATGTAAAGACCAGACAAATTATCGTTTCGCCCACTGTCCGGACCGTTTTTAGAGGTTCAAAAACGTGTAACGCACGTGCGTTTACAGAATGATGGCGCCTTATGCGAGATTCACCAAATCTGGATCACCCCTTACCGGTAGTTCGTTTTTTGAAGCTCAAAGTTACTAAACATTGTTGCTGTTTTTTCTGTAGTGCCCTCATGTGCCTGGTTCCTCCTTCCACACTTCCCAGCTAAACCTCTTTGTTCCGTGACCTTCAAAAGTCCTGGTGCCGAAACGCCGAATTGTGGCGAATGTACATGCATTGCCACGAACGAAGGTTTCTCTTCTTGCGAACAACGAAAGCAGCAACGGACAGGACCATGCTGTCCTGGCGTTTCCTGCAATCTCTTGCCCATACCGCTACTACGTTTCACTGCCGCCAACTACTTTCTTGCGTTACCATCGCCATGACAAGTATTGTACCGTAACCGATCAATAGCAAAATAAACGCAATTTTAGGTTTTGCTCCTACGCTTCCCTTGTGGAACCTAGAGTTGGCAGGGGCAAGCCGTCGTACAGCAATTTGTAGCGTGCTGCAGACCTTTTTCCAAGCCATTTTTTCTATCGTCATCTCCGATATACACCCAAGGGCCCTCTTCTACGTTATAGAATGACGCCACATTATTCACGAATATATCCGCTAAACTCAATGAGGAAACGAGGCCATTGCATAGAACTGACCCTTCCTGGGTTTCCGCGATGACCAGAGGTAATGCGCCAAAGAACTGGTGGAACGGGGCCACGTAAATTCAGTTTGTTTTTTTCTGCTCTAGTGAGGCTTCCACCGAGCAATCAATAACAGAAGCTCACAACGTGTTAGCTACCGAAGAAACATCAAACTTGTTGTTGGGCTTCGCAAATACACACCTATTTACATTACGATAAAACTAAAAGGGGGCAAAACGGGACAACGTTTTGCCAAGTCGGAGCAGTTCAGTTATTTGGCGACGCATCGCCGCAGAAGCCAAAAATGGGAATACTCTAGTGCGCCCTGGCCGTCAATTGAGCACCCGTATACACTTCCATGTTCCCTGAGGGCGAAGTAGGCTATAGGTGGAGGTTAGAGAAGTGGACTTGGTGAAGAATAGGTGAAGAGAATGTAGAAGAAAGTAAAGGGGGTTAAACATGACATTGGCATAGTGCGCCTTGGCCGTCAATATAACGTCCGTCTAAGTCTCCGCGTTCGTCGCTAAAGTGAGATATGGAGAAAGGTTAGCAGACGAGGCAGACAATCACGGAAAATCAAAACTAAGAAGCGAAATCCGGTTGGATAATGGGCCTATCCAGTAAACCTGCGTCGCCAGCCATATCAGAAGCCGCATGAAGTTTAGGGTGTTAGAAAAAAGGTCAAAGGATTGTTGGTACTAGAATATCTGGTGTTGATGAAAAGTTATTGACCATTTCTCAGCCAAATGATTTTAAAATTACATGTCTAAAGGTA